ATGGAATCCCATGGTCGGACCGGAACCAGTAAAGGTTTCAACAAGCCGTAAGGCCGGTGATGGCGGGGCTTATTGCGACCACAGATAGTGCAGGAGGTAACGTAGTCACGAACAAAGTCTCTGACCTTGGGCCAGGTGTATTGACGACGTACAGCTTCGAGAGTGCGGTTCTGGCCGAAATGGCCGGAGAGTGGATGATCATGGAAATAGTGGAGAACTTGAAGGCGAAGGTCGCCGTGATTAGGAACATAAATATGGTCGTCAAGGTGTAGTAGCTTGTCACTACCTAAGCTCCAACGTTCATTGGAAGGATCTTTAGCAAGTTCCAAACCAACAATGGAGCTCGGGTCGGCGGGGAGAGCGAGAATGATAGCCTGGTGTAGGGCTTCGATATCCATGATGATTGAGGCTCGTAAAACCGGGCCTTCCAGGAAGGTAGCTCGAAGAGACGCAGTGAGTTGTTCGTTAGTAAAGATAGGACGGAAATTATGAGGGTTCACTTGGGCGTAGCCGATATCCCCCTCTTTAGGGTAGACGTCCCAGCGTCTAGTTATGGAATCAGGTTTCTCGCCGAGTTTCCCCGGTCGGAAGCGAATGACCATATTAAATTGATGTAAAAATTCTGACCATCGGACCTGTCGGCGTGTGAGAACCTTGGTAGTAGAGAAATACTCAAGATTCTTGTGATCGGTGACGACGTCCACCGGATCACCCGAACCTTCCAGATAATGACGCCAAGCTTTAAAAGCCTCGAAGATGGCCAGTAGCTCTTTGTCGTGTGTATCGTAGTTGAGTTCCGCCGCATGAAGCGTTCTGGAAAGGAAGGCTAGAGGATGAATTTCACCGTCAGCATATTGGATGGAAAGAATAGCCGCAATGGCGTAATCGGAAGCGTCGGTCTCCACGATAAGTGGGCGATTCGGCTCCCAATGAGCCAGTATCGGCGCAGAAGTGAAAGCAGTCTTGAGATTTTCGAAGGCCTCTTGACAGCTGCTGTCCCAGATCCAGGACGCGCCTTTTCGGGTAAGCCGAGTCATCGGCACAACGATATCACTATAATTATAAATAAAACGACGATAGAAGTTTGCAAAACCCAGGAAGGACTGGATGTCCTTAACCTTCCTCGGAACCGGCCACTCTAGAACAGTCTGAACTTTCTCCTTGGACATAGTCAATCCGTCGGGAGAAAGAATATAACCCAAATACTCAACAGTATCCATATTGAATTCGCACTTGTCGGGGTTGGCGTAAAGCCGATGTTTCCGCAACCGCCGAAGAACCTCCTTAACGTGTTCTCGGTGTTCTTCTGGCGTATCAGAGTAGATCAGAATATCGTCAAGATAGACGATGACACAGACATCGAGCATGTCAGAGAAGATGTCATTAACAAACCGCTGGAAAGCCGCAGGGGCGTTCGTAAGGCCGAACGGCATGACCTTCCATTCGTAAGAGCCGTAGCGGGTCCGAAAGGTGGTTTTCCATTCATCACCTTCAGCGATTCTGACTAGATGATAAGCGTGAGCGAGATCCAATTTGGTGTATATTTTAGCTCTTTTCGGAGCGTCGAGGAGATCTGATATGAGTGGGAGTGGGTAACGATCCTTTTTGGTGATACAATTGAGTCCACGGAAATCGACGCAAAGGCGAAGTTTGCCGTCTTTCTTCGGGACAAAAAGGACCGGAGCGCCGTGAGGAGAGGATGATGGGGTGATGGCACCAGTAGCCAGCTGTTTATCAATAAAGTCTTTAAGGGCAACTAGCTCCTTTTCAGACAAAGGGTAAATACGGCCGAGAGGCGGCGAAGCGCCTTCTTCCAAGTCAATCTTCAGGTCGTAAGGTCTGTGTTCAGGAAGTGAATCTGCAGCAATCTCGTCGAAGACGTCTGCAAACTCTGCGTACTCTTCTGGGATAGAAGGATGGAGTGGAGGGACAGTAGGAGTGGTGGAGGAGCGGTCGGCGGCGCGGGCCGCGACCTCTGAGTGGATAGCACGAAGTAAGATGGGTTCCATACCAGCGTCCTTGCAAGCCCTGTTAAAGACTGCAGCACTGACAAGTGCAATGTCGACCTCGGGAGTTTCCAGTTGAGCAGCGAATTGAGAGACCGTAGGGTAGGAGTAGATGGGTTCAAAGGGGAATTTGGACAAGAGGGGCTTGGCCCGTAAAGTCCGAGAGCGGGAGCGAGAGCGAGAGCGAGGTGAGTCCCCAGGAGGGGTCTCCAGAATTGTCGGTGAAACCGACGGCGAAGGTTCCGGTAGCGGAACAGCGACCTTTGCATCAACGGTGTTGATAGCAGAAGGCACAGACGTCTGTGGAGAATCAGGATGTGAAGTGTTACGGAACGTAATGTTTCGGGATGCCCAGTCAATCAACGGATTGTAGCGGGATAAGAAACTGTAACCTAATACTGCTTTACAGGATGAATCTAAATGTGTAACATAAAAGGGTAATAGAAGCAGCTCGCCGGAAGGGAACCGAACGGCGATATTCGCCATATCGGTAATGGGTTTAGAAGATAATGAACCATCAAAGAGACGAAGATTAACAGGAGAAATTTTGGTCGTAGGAATAGAGTTCTGAGAAACGTAACGAGTATCGATGAAAGAGTCAGTAGAACCAGAATCAACAAGAGTAGGAAATTTAAGAAGAGCAGAGATGGGTTCGGCCGGCGCGGCCGAATTGGATAAAGGAAATTCAGTAGTCAATGATATTACAAGAGATCGTTCAATAGAAGAAAGAGCGGACGCGTTGAGATATAACTCCCCAGGTGAGGTACGAACCTGATCAACGCAGCTCCCGTTTCGTACCGGGGAACAAGAGCTGCGGATTAGTTTTCCGAATCCTCTTCAACAACCTCAATGGTTGCTTCGGGGGTTTCTTCAACCTCGGCAGCGCGGCCCTTCGATTCTCGGGCCTTTCGCTTATTGCAGTCAGCAATCTGATGCTTACCACCGCAGAAGAGACAAAGGTTGTTCTTCATCCTTCTTTCCTTCTCGGAGGGAAGGACTTTCCCATCTGCACCAAGATGGTTGAACGCGGGGCGCTGATCGCCGGATTGGCCGGAATTCGAAGAGTTCTGGGGCTTACCATTGTTGTTAGGCTTACCACCAGAGAAGGGTTTAGGCTTCGGCGTGAACGGCGCCGAAGAGCCAGATGGCTGAGAGTTGTTTTGCTGGTTAGTAGAACCAGTCTTGAAGTCCGAGGAACCCTTCTTCGGGTTCCGAGCAACAAAAGGCTTACTAGCCTCACGCTTTCTAGTTTCCTCGCGTTTCCAATAACGATTGTCAATACGAAGAACTTCTTGACGGTAATCGGCGAGCGTCGCCGGCTCGGGCAAACGCGCCATTTCGTCCTTGATGCGCTCAGCTAAGCCTCGTCCATAAGCCCATTTCAGGGCAGCAGAATCCCAGTTGGTACTAGCAGCCAGGGTGTTGAACCGGATGTTGTATTTCCGGATGTTCTCGGTTTCCTTCATCTTCAGATTACCGAGAGAATCTTCGGCCTCGCCTTGGGCGTCGTAAACGCCGAAATTATCCTGAAGCTCCTTTACAAGGGCTTTGAAGGAGGATGTCCAGGCCGGCAGCGAGTCGAGATCCGGGTCGAGGATATCAGGGACAAACCATTCTTTGGCTGACCCACTGAGATAGGAAAGGGTGTAGTTCACCTTCCGTTGGTCGGTGAAGTACTTGGGACGGTCATTGAAGACCAGGGCGAGATTGACGAAGAACGTCTTGAGTTTTCGGGGATCCGAACCGTCGAAGACCTCTGGCTCCTTGACCTTGCTCTTGGATTCAGAGCTGTCAGAGGGACGGCCGAGAGCGGCGAGGACGGTACCAAGGGTCTCAATGGAACCCTTGAACCCCGAGAGGAGTTCCAACATAGCTCGTTGCTCGTTGGGGATGTCAGGAGAGATTGGGGAACGAGGTCCACCAGGTCCACCAGGACCGCCGGGACCGCCGGGACCACCAGGCCCACCAGGTCCACTGGGGTCACCAGGTTCACCAAGCGGTAAACCGCCGGAATCGTCATCCAGATCGTCATGATTGTTGTCGGCGCCCGGATCGTCGGGGTCGACAGGAGGGTCTTGATCATCGTGATCACCGGTGTCCAAATCGAAGTGAGGAGGTGGGTCACGAGGAGATTCAGAAGCAGCGCGACGTTGGGGTTGTTTCCCCGTACGGCGGGCTATGGCTTGGAGGATTGGAGAATCAATACGAGTAGTTGAACGGCCCCGAGCCGGAGCGACCACGGGGGGTTGTCCACGGCGAGGGGTCAGGACTTGGACAGGTTGTCCGTCACCAGTGTACAATGTACTGTACTCGAATTGTTGTTCTTCTTCCATGGCTTCAGGAAGAGTCGACGTAGTAGGAACTGTAGCTGGACCGAAACCGCGATTACGGCGACGTGGTTGACCGATGGCAGAGATAGAGTCGGAGAATGGGGCAAATGATTGGGCTGTAGTGAAGAAAGTATTTTCTTCGGAGTTAGCTCTAGATTGAGCTCGAGTTTTCGGAGGCATAAAAAACGATATGTCAGTACGACGTTAACGGATTGAGTTTAATTATACTGTTAAGATCATGTATACCGTGTAACCGTGCCAAGGCCACAGGGTGTCTAAGTGCGGAAGACGAATGGGACAGTAGTGAAGTTATTAACAACACCGCCGTTACGCCGTTAGTCCCCGGAGAGCAAGAGTAGAGAGGGAGGAGAGCTAAGTAGCAGCCAGGTCGGAGCGGCGGTATCGCCGATGACGAGGAGCGGACCAGAGAACGTCAAAGTCCTAAGGTCGAGGAGAACGTACTTCGAGGCGTTGAGCCTGAAGACTTAGAGAAGAGTTAAGTTGAGAAGGGAGATCTAAGTTGATAATTAAACTCAGGAACTACAGTAGCGTACAGGCAGTATTTATATCTACGGAACGGCGCATCGGTGCGGAGCGCCAGACTAACTACTAGGAGCTATACGGGTAGTACCTGCAGGGTAGAGTAAAAGACAATAAGAAGGGACTAGGACAAAAGGGTATGTGTAGCGAGAAAGAACAATAAGAGTGAGATTACAATAACGAGTGGATCTTCGGAGTACCGAGCGGCGGAATGGAGGCCCGCGGCATGGACTTGACAGGCTCCTGAACGAGGACTTGCTTTCTTTTTCGTGGCATAACTGAAAGGAGTTTCCTGGGTCGAATCTCCCGAGCCATCAGTGTCAGCATGATTGTCATCCGGTTTGCTTTTTTCATTCGTTGTGGTGCCACTGTCACCCTGACAGCGCTCCTCTTTGTCGATGTCCATATCCTCCTGCCGCTGTTTGCCCTTGTTCTTGACTGATTGAATATCCAATGCCTCCAGAACGCGATCCAATACGGTCGAATTATGCTGAACGCTATCAGTCAACTTATCGATTTTCGCATCTTGCTTTTTGACGACTTCAGCATTTGATGTCCGTATACCATCGTAAAGCGTATGCATCATCTTTGTTTGATGTTCAAGCAGTGTTTTCAACTGATGGAGGGTTTAGAATATCTAGGAACAGGGAGCACGATATACTTACCATGTCTTCGCCATTCTCTTGATCTTGGTTGAAGATGGGTTGAGAAGACACTGCACGTCTTTTCCTTTTGGAAGGTGGATGCTGACAAATTTTAATATACTGCGTCCAATACATTCACTCAGTGTCAACATTACACACCTGTAGTGATACGTCGCTTCCAAATTGTGCGGCCGTTGGGGTGGCATCCGGATCAGCCATCATGGCGTCTGAGTTGCCTGGCGTTTGGGGAGGGTTTGAAGTGGGAGGGTTGGGAGGGTTGGGAGTAGGAGGCTGCCATTGTATCGTTGAAGCACTTTGTGAAACCCGCACCGTGAATGGACTTTGCGGGATCTGTACTGTGAACTGCGGCTCCTGAGGTATAGATTGTGAAGGAGCGTGCGTCCAAATCTGGGATGGAATCTGCAATGGATCCTGGGATGCTGTACTTAGGCCAGGTTCCATATTCTCATCCAAAATTTGGATGTCCATAGCAGAAGATTCGGAGTCACTGGTATCCTCAGCATTGCCACGTACGCCACGTACGACAGGAAGTAGCATTTTGTGACAAAGGGCGACAAAGAGTCAGATTCTCAGCCGTGGTTCAAATAATCGTGTAGCCTTATCAGTGGATCAGTTGGGGTTCATTTAGCCGACGCGTATGTCGTCAAATCAATGGAAGTACATAGAACTGTTAGCAATCACCACAAGGTGTCAGTATGAAAGACGTTGATTATATTCGGTGTCTAGAGAGGCATACGTAGCCTTGAGTCAAGTTGATTTCTACGCGCTATCTAAACAGGCGCTATTTAGTGCGAGAGCTACTTGCTAGAAGTATTACTTCTGCACGGCATTAATGGAATAATGGTTTCAATCAGAGTAGTCTAAAGGAGTTCTAAGCGGACGAACAAGAGGAACAACAGCGCGAAACTTACTTGACGCAGTAGAGTTTTCAGAGTTTCAGTGATCTTAGAAGTCTGAACAAACATAGACGGGAAAATAGAAGAAAATTGTTGGATCTTGAACACCAGAGGGTCACGATCAATCACGGAAAAATCTCAAAAGTTTATGGACGTACCTGGTCTTCCAGAGAGATACCACTTGGCCTACCACTGCAAGCTATAGCTTTGACATGCGCGAGGGTGATCTGCCGGTCCACTTCGCAAATTTGGACGTAGAGATCGTCGAACGCTTGGATGAGAAGCTCACAAGTCGTGAGTGTACACGGTAGGAACATCTTGATTTTAACTAGTGGTTGTTCGACCCGAGCGATCTAATTCACGGAGGTATAAGTGAAGATGTACCATCCATGTCGAACGCCACACGTACCTCAGTCAATAACTTTCTGACCAAAGTCTTGAGTTTCAGAATTTCTTTGTAGAAGAAGCAGAAAGACGGTGGTCGTTCCTGGTGCGTCAAAGATCAAGCATGATTGGTACATGTCAATTGGATGTGCGGACATACCTCAACAAATTTATAGCTTTCAAGACCTGGGTAACGCTGCGAAAAGACACGTTCGTGCTCGTGGACTGCTGCTTGCAGCATCTTTAACAGACTTTGGAATTCTTCATCGAGTGAACGACAGTCAAGACTCGCTGTACTTGTTGGATGAAGTGTGTGGCGAGTGTCCATGTATCTTGCAGAATTAAAGAAATTGGGAAGGATAGGTCTCTACCCGAACGATCCCTTTCAGTTTTTATAGCAGCTAGAGTAGTGGTAGGACGTACAAACAACAAAATCATTATGGCGAGATAAAGCAACTATCACAAACATGACATTCTAAAGGAACATTCAAGCATCAGACCAAGGCTTTTGTCGTCCATTGGGTATCTACGTTCGGTTTAGAACCGGACTAGATAGAGATAGAGAGTAAGTAGTGAATAAGTCACGCATCACATGCAGTCAATAAGAAATAAATCACGCTACTTCGAACTAGTTCGAACTCTTCATGACACCGCTCGGCACTCCACAGAGTCAAACTCTGTTGGTAGTACTCCTCTTTTTCACTCTATAGGACCATTCAACATTTCACCTATCATATCTGGGGAATTCAACATCGTTACCGATCCGTCCTTTATTCCCAATCAGGCTAAACGTAACTGGAAAAGGGGGTCAAAACAAAAGGAAAGGAAAGGTCGAGGAACAGCAGGAAACAGCCGGGGCCCGAAAGCAAGCTCTTAAGCTATATCAGGACGCTGGTCATTACCTGCACCTTACTCAAGACCATCAATGTCTCTTCCCCAGGTGCGCATTGTATCGAACGAGGCGGCTGAAATTGCTCAGTTTGTGCGACAAATCACGTCTGCTTCAAGTGAAATAGAACGCCTTCGCACCGAGATAGCTAGTTTGGCGCAACAAATTCAACAATTTAACAAGGTATAAACTCAAATCTTTTGCTGCGTGTATATTATTCAACATATTTCGAAGAATTTTCCTTATATTCGACCGTTGGAAGAGCTGAAGGCTCTACACTCTATAATTTCTGCATTATTAAACGAAAAGAGGGAAGATATACAGCTGCTATATTTGCAAGCTTCTGTCAAGTCCATGCCGCGGGCCCCCATTCCGCCGCTCGGGATTCCGAAGATCCATTCCTTATTGTAATCTCTTCCTATTGTTTTTTCTCGCTACACATATCCTTTCGTTCTAGTCTCTTCTTATTGTCTTTTACTCTACCCTGCAGGTACTACTCGTATAGCTCCTAGTAGTTAGTCTGGCGCTCCGCACCGCTGCGCCGTTCCGTAGATATAAATACTGCCTGTACGCTACTGTAGTTCCTCAGTTTAATTATCAACTTAGATCGACTTAGATTCCCTCTTCCACTCTGTGCTCTCTAAGTCTTCAGGCTCAATGCCTTGAAGTACTCTCTGCGCTACCTTAGGACTAGACGTCCTCTGGCTCGCTCCTCGTCACCGGCGATACCGCCGCTCCGACTTGGCTGCTTCTCAGTTCCTCCCTTCTCTACTCTCGATCTCCGGGGACTAACGGCGTAACGGCGGTGTTGTTAATAACTTCACTACTGTCCCACTCGTCTTCCGCACTTAGACACCCTGTGGCTCTGGCATGGTTACACGGTGTACATGATCTTAACAGCTTCGCAGTGCTCTGATAGTTGACTGGTCAGCTGCATCCCTTTCTCTCAGAACGCTATATTCATTCTTCTGTCTCTACTAACTACAGAATTTCGCATGTTCATTTTCATCGGATATCACCTACATATTACCAAGAATTGTCGAATATACATCTGTTCGTGTTGGTCTCACATCAGGGACTCCAATGTGTCGTTGCAGTTAACGTCATATATATTCGATTAAGTGTGGTTTGAGGAGTCTTTTGAACAGATCTAGAGAGACAATGTCGTCTCACTGTGCCCTAGCCGAACTTCAATATTGTTCGCATCAGTCGGTACTGACAACTTGCTCGTGTCAAGCCTCGTGTCCGAGATGTGACTTAGAATTTTCCTTACCACTACAACAGAACGGCCACTCAGGACCATGAAAACTTCTTATACTCAGTTGGGCACCATAGAGGCCCCTACGGATTGTGTACATGCATTGGCATTCTCAGTAGATGGACGTTATTTGGCGAGTGTCAGTAATGATAACATGGTACGCGTCTACGGCCTAGAACGTGGATTTGCGACGACTTGGGAAGAAAAGGGTGACTGTCCTTTCACCGCTGTCACATGGAGAGATGATGCTCTCTTTGTCGGTACCATGGACGGCGATGTGATATGCTTTTACCCAACTACGGTATGTGACATGTCCTCAATGTTTTGATAAATGTTCTGAAAACAAAACCAGAGGTGGATTCGTCGACGGAAAAGTGAAATCATTTACAAGACTGACGCAGTAATCCAAACCATGGTATTCAATCAGCGCGGCGACCATCTCCTTGTTTGTTCGGGCACTGACGTGCTCCTCTTCGAAAAGAGTACGTGTAATTGTTGACCTGGTGATGAGTACACACCATGCAAACTGACTTGGACGTACAGCTTCAGGGAGGTGGAAATATCATGATTGTCTCCCTCGCCCCAAACCATTCGGAGAACCCGGTGAAGGCGATACCTATCCAATCGTGGCAACAGGGGTACATTTTCTTGAAAATGAGAAGCAATGTCTCGTAGGGTATTTGTACAATGGTTTTTGGTGAGCGAAGCCCTTCGAGGTATCTACAAATTTCATATCTTTTACATCCGGCTTCAGGAAATTCAATCTCGAAACATGGGAGAGCACATTATATTTTGGCCCAGACGACTCATATAAGTTAGAGGACCCAAGAAGGTATTTTGGGAGAATGTATGTATCGTATATACCAGGAATCGAGCCGTATACAGTTGCCTGACGAATCTCTAGCACTGATTCAGCCAAATCTCCGGACTCGAAAGCAGTTGTCACGACAGATACTTGCGTAGGGCTTGCATGGTTCAAAGTCATGCCCGAAAGGCTCAAGAAAATGAGTACCACTAATATGGCTCAGAATTCTAATATTCCCCTTCCCGTCCTTTTCATAAACCAAGGACAAGCAGTGATCATGGGTACGACTAAAGGATGTGCTTTAATTTTAGAGGTGAAGCGTGCCGAAAAATTACAGACTCTAAAGCACGGAAATGGTAAATCTTAATCTCTCACTAAGATATCTCTCTCGCTGAGCTATCTCTTTTCACCTCACAGATCAAACCTGGGTGAATTCCTTGGTAGGTATCTTGTCCTCTTGACGCTCTGTATACCCTGCTGACCTGGTATGATAGGCCTATATTGATTTAGATGGTCGCTGTCGAATGATAGCCACCGGTGACGGGAATCGCGAACAGTGCACAAGGATCATACTGTGGATCGAGGATAAGAAGGACCTCGCATTCAAATTCCCCAAGCTCTGGTATATCATGCCAAAGCTAGTGAGTTGTTCTCCTAACAGAAGTTCTAGTATGAGACAATCTACAGTTCGTATCTATCCTGAGGATTGGGCGGATAGTCCTCACCGTGATGGGGGTGATCTTTGCGTTATCGCTGTGGTCATTGCCTTTGTGGACAGAAGCAACGTCAAAGCAGCTTTCAGGGTACTTTTCCAAGTCATCTTCTCCTGCGGCACCGTCCACTTCCCCGTCTCCTGTGATACCTGCTACCACATCGTCACCTTTTTTGACAAAAGTCACGGAATTGTTGGACACCTTGGGAGAGTTACTGGTGCGTGTTGATTGTCCTTGATTAGAGCGGATGGATGACAAAAGAATGTACAGGCATAAATGAACTTGCGATAACTTAAATAGCCAGTTGTAAAAGTCGTCGTACTTCGCGTTTTTGTCTCATAATATGGAAAGGAAAGCTTCAAAGATAGACTAGTGAACTATAACGTCTAAGTCTAGGGGTTGCTTACTGCTTGATGATTCTTGCGGTCGAGATATGCTTTGGTCATCACGTTACATCGATAGATTTTTCGGACTACAGAGTATACATTGCAACTATTCCTCGTTGGTGGCGGTCGTACGACGCATAGCCGAGAGCTGTCCTGAATTATCACAAACATCCCTTATAAGCTCTTCCACAAATAATTCCTTTTCCATCTCGAGGTCGCTGGCTCTGTCTCGAGCAGTTGCCGCGGAATGCTCAAGAACTCCAGCAAGACGCTTGTAAAGCGCAATCTCGACGTCCAACTGAAGAGTTCGAGTCTGTTGCACAATCATGACCTCCTTCCGTGCAACGGCCTTCTCTCGCTGCGCGAGGACAACGAGTCAGGTGGTCCACGGAAAGTATCCGGACATCCAAGAATACGTTTGCATCGTCATATAGCAGAGCTTCGTTGATCGAAGTTATCAGTTCTGACAGAAACATGGTACGGAGTTTGCAGCTACTCACCACTTTATAGGTGCAACTAACGAGTATCGTGAACCCGAGAATGATGCTCAATTCAATAAATGCCTCTTTGCGTGTCCTATCCGCAAACACACTAAATAGACGTGATGCAGGACCGTCGGGACCATGCGGATGACCAGGATCAGGTAGGAGCTTCAACAAGAAAGAAAGAAATTTGTTCATGAGACTAGCCTGGCTCAAAACCCCCATCTGTGAAGACGAATACGTTGCGGTGGAAGAAGCAAGCTCGGAAGACATTGGGGTCTAAGATATCCTCAAGTTTTTCCTACCACCTCATCAAATACAAATCAATTCATTGCTCGAGTGACGCGAGCCATGATATATCTGCGTGTAGCAACGTAGTTATAATACGTATACCTTTCTATCCAATGTGCTAGCTTCGAAGCCATGTATATGGCTAGATATGTCGGATCCTGTGCTACCAATGCACGTGTTTATGCCATCTTCGTTCCGGTTTCAAAGTAAATTGCTGTCTACGTATACATGAGGCTACCCCACAATGTCTCTTCCAAATACTGCAGTTTTGACCAACGGTATTATGACTAGCTCGACCTGTTTTTGCCATCGATAAGCTCCAGCCGGGCTACACTAGCAAGCACCCCTGCAATGCCCTGCGACTTGGCAAGTACTCGTTTAATCTCGCTAATACTCTCTTTTTGGGTTTAGCTCGAGGGCCAGATTGATGTGATTTCCTGATCTCGATTCTGTTATTGAAATCACAAAGAGTCTTGAAACGAGTCCTGGAAAGGAATATATTAGGTTATACATTTTACGAAGAAGTACATGTAGTTGGATCCTCAATGAGCAAACTAAAATGTGATAAAGTCTTCTCAAAAGTGGAAAATGGCAGCAATGTACCGCGACATGTTATCAAGGCCAACTTGCCCAAGTAGGGTTCATGTCTAATTAAATCAGTCATGTATGGAGAACCTGCATCGCCCGGAATATCGGGTGTTCAACTTTACCAAGTTTGCAGCCTTTCAACAGATAGAGCGAATACAGGGTTGCATATCCCCATCAGCCTCGATTTCATACAGAATTTGTGACTAAAATCTTCCTCATTCATGAAAAAATTCCTATTTTCTGAAGTCGGACTGTTTTCATAAGTCTCTATTCGTCTGGGCGTTGAATGACATCGGAACGAAACGCTACGAGAATGAAGGAAAGACTCACCCTGCTAGAAAATGTCTTAGCATTCTCAGAGAAACCTATGTACCATTTTCACTTACCTGAGGGTCACTGGAGCCCTAAACTTTTTGCAAAAATCTTTTTTGTCGATGCTAAGTGACGACGAGTTTAGCTGGATGATCTGTAAACTGGCCAGCACGCACGTTGAAACGACTGTTCGCTTTGTATGACAAAATGATTGATAAAAACATTAGAAAAAATTAAGAGACTAAAATGTCAAAGAGTCGTGTCCAGAGCGTGCTGAAGTCTTTAAGAAGCGGTTCACAAAGATAGATCCTTGTCGCAATTCGGTTGTTTTCACTCAGCCTGCTCTGCATTTCGATATGGTTTCTTCATCTCGAGCCCAGTCTCGTTCCTCCAGGAATGGCACGCCCGTCGCAAGGAGACGTCTTTCTCCTAGTCACACCTTACTTATTACTCCGTTCAACGGAGGTATCATGCCCCGAGAACTTGATAAGGTAAAATATTTGAAGTCGTATGTTTTATTGGAAATAATTTCACGCTTTGCTTCCACAGGTAGAAGGGTCAACAACGGGTCTCTACTTCGGAATGGGTCGTGTGATAGCTGAGAAGAAGAAGTTTCCGTCCATCCTTTCGAGCCACCACAAGCACCAACGGTTCATTGAAGTTCGTAGTGGCTTTTCATCAGACACAATCGCAGATGACATCTACAAGCTGAAAGTCATCGTTGATCAAAGACGTTACTACGTCTGTGGGACATATGATCAAGGATCTCCCAACAATAACGAACTTCTGAAAACGTACGGTGTGAGGGAGAAATTCAAGGGCGAGATCGCCATATTCTTCTACTCTGTCTATGAGCCGGAAAGGTTCTTAGATTGCGTGCCTAGGTATGAGAATAACGAGAGGGATGAAATAATCAAACGAGTACTCACCGCGTAAGTAAAGATTTTGTCAAGTCCCGGGGTCATGCAGTTCCTAATGCTCTTATCACAGGTTCTCGAGGAACGTCAGAGATCACATTGAAAAAGGAACTCCTCTGAAGCACATCGTTAGGGGTTAGGCCCTTGCTTTCCGTTTTGATCTGTAGTTGAGTGCTAGTAGCTCGTGACCTATTTCTCCACCTCATTCTTTTACCTATGCACCTCATTTCCTCAATTATAGTCGTGCTGACCACGTCTCACCATGCCTCCTTCACCATGCCATCCTTTTCGTTGTATTTATTCTGTATGCCCACAGTTTTGTTCGTTAGCTTTCCATTCAAAAAATTGAATACACACCTTACGCTATCCTGGCCTATCAGCTACATCGTTATATTCGTTTGATGGTCCTACAGTTTTGTCATCCTTTTCAGCCATCGTTCCTTACCTATGTCACCTAACATCCAGTTGTTCTTTTTCACGTGAAGTTGGGACTTGAGATCTTTAGAATTCGCCCAGAGTTCTTGTCCGGGTGTTGAAGGCCTCCAGGCTTGACATATATGATCTGTGCTAACTCCCAGTTTCTAACCTGGAGCAGCTGCGAGAAAGCAGTACTAGTAAAGATTAATGTTCGATGGAGGTCGAATGTTCAAGCACGTGGTGCACATGACTTAGGATTTTCTGAATCCTGAGTTCGACAGTGGCACAGTGCTCTCTAACTAGATCGCTGTCAGGCTTCTTTCTGGTCAAACTGGACTTGAAGTGCTGAGACAAATACGAATAGACGTGTTTAGTAAACTCATCGCAACATCATCAGCATCAACCCTTCTTCTGGTGTCACTGGAATTTGACGACGTCCGAAGAGACCTTCTTACCTCTCAATCCTCAATCATACCACCGAAACGCAAAAGTGTACGTCCAACTCATGGAAAGTGAGTATTTGTTTGTAATGAATAACATATATTTCCTAATGCTGTTTGATTATAGAGGCGACTTGTATGCTTGCGACGTCTCAGGAAACTGACCTATCCAGCTTCCATGCGCTGATAGACGATGTCGTCTTCACTTGCCTCAATCGTCAGCCACACAACTTTCCCATCGTGCCCTCCAGAGAACAAAGTCTGAATCCTAGTCCAAACTCAGCCACGCTCCCTGATTTCTATACACCACGCTGGGTGATTTCCTCGATACCTTTCCTGGGATTCGCGCCCAGCAGCAACCCATTCAAATTCCACTTCTTGAAATGCCTTGACCATGGATTCAGTACCCTACCAATTGAAAAAGACGGCCTGTCAAAAACTTACGCGCTCAGTTCGTCACTACAAGAAGATTGGAACTCGTTAGAGAGAAATATGCGCGCGTTTCTACGTGCCTGTATGAAAATCAACCGACTAGCAATTCCTGATGATCTTCGCCTTTGGCCACTACCAAACTTTTATGGGTATCATGCACATTGGAGAACGGAAGCAGAGGCGCGTAGTGCAGGAATGCGATCTCGTCAAGCATTTATTCCTTTGATTGCCTGTATCTCTTTCTTCCTTCAAATGCTGTATCATTTGGAGAATAAATGGGTTGATATCGTCGCGTTGCACATTCCACCTAACGAGCCCGATTCTTTCTTGGGAAAGAGACAGAAGGAGTATGCGGAACTTCGCCGGGGACCTGTCCCTGCGAAGTGGGAATGGCAAGAGCTACTTCGTAAAGAAACATCAATCAGCTCTGAATGGCTTGCGTATTTTCATCAGATTATGGATATTCCAATGGTCGGTGCATTTGTCGATGTGCACAATTCTGGGTGTCTTCCCTGGCTCCCTGTGTTCCTTGACTCAAAAATGCCTCTGATGCTATACTGGGGTCAAATCTGTGATTGGTCTGTCCCAAAATTCTTCAATTTCGTGATCCCGTTTCCCAATCCCATCACGTTTCCGATTCCCAATTCTACCACGGTTGACATGCTTTCTGCGACAAAGACTTCTTATCCGCCACCGTTATCAGAAGACCATTCCTTCAACAAAACCGAAGTATCTACTCACAAGCCTAAACTACGTTATCCACGTATCACTGGCGGAAGTCTTCCCCGAAACAACGAGGACCTATTCACATTCATCCAATGCAGAGAAGCCCATAGACTCAAAGTCATTGCATCCGAGGCTGCATCTGAACGTCAGTCTCACTTACAGCGAGAAGAAAATGCTAGGAGAGATCGACCTCCAGGTAAAAAAGGTGCTCGTGTCTATTACTGGGACCTTGTAGAAGGGATCAGGGTGCGGACAGCTGTAGGAAGGAGCAACTATGAGGATATCTGGGAGAGATATGGCCCGAGCCAGCGGCGTTATGATTCCGTTGCTGATGAATGGGAGATTTGCACGGACCTGGATCCTGACGGTGATTGTGATTTAGACTCCCTTGAGGATGACCCCGACGATGATTATTTTATCTCTATGCCCTTGCAATCAAATGAGGAAGCGGGCCATGATGTCGGCCCCGCTTCCTCCTATGCCTATGTTGCTCGTCTTCATCCTAAAAAGGACTCGCCAACGATACCCATATTCTTTTCAGAGGCCATTGAAGACATTGCCCACCATAGATTCGGGTTTCTCAAACGACCTAGCGAAGACAATAGAGAAGTCGTGGTTCTACCTAAAGTTTGGAAGAAAGTATTGGGCCTGCTTGGATGTGGACGCCCCCCTGTGCCTGATGGACCGCACAATCACATCAAGCTACAAATAATCAATCTTGTCATGCAATTGTTGAATGCAGTAGATCTACGACATGCACCCCAAGAATACGATTTGGCTATCAGGAATGGGCTCATGAGACCTCAGATCCCATTTGAGGTTGATGTCTTAACCTCGTATCACGGATACCATTTCTTGATACAGGCGCAGGATGCTACAGACAATGAGCCATATCTAATTGCATTACGCAGCGCAGCCACTGTTTTGGAAATAGCTCGTAGGAAGTGGGGTCCAGGAACGGTGGATATTATCAAATGCTTAATTGAAGAGGGCCTTGCTTTCAATACTCTGATAGCTAGCAATCCTCCTCGAATATGCAAGGTGATTCCACGCCGTCGTCCTGCGGTTTTGGGCTTTCGTCCAGCAGGATTTCTTCCTGATCTAAAAGATTATCATGGATATGAGGTTATTCGTAACGAGTTTCTACGTTCAGCCAGGGGTCGTGCGGCATTGTTAGGTGGAGGCATAGTTGCTCGATTAGCTCGCGAAATTGTTGATAAAAATGATGTCTATGATGGACCTACCGTACATGCTCTGCAAGAGGGGGAACATGCACTTTGTGTGTGGGAAGTGGGCCGAGGTCGTGCATTTTGGGATGACCAATTAACCAGCAAAGAAACGGACCTCATATGTGGTACATACGAGGTTGCTACAGGTATGTGTGTACCTTTCTTCGCATCTGCCTCTGATTCCTTTGTTTAGGCATTGTCTCGAAGGAAGGTATACAACAAACTGCAACACGGTCCTGGTGGCCCCGTCCGAACTCTTGGAAAACATGTGGACTTAATTGTGGATATTGGTCGAAAGATGCCGAAAATTGGTTTCAAAAGCGAATGACCAATATTCACAATGCTACAGAGCCTGTAGTTTTGATGACTCCTCAAGAATGGCATACGCACCTGAAGTTTCAAAGGGTGTACACACTTTCGAACAAGAACGATCTACTCGCAGTCCAATATCTCACGAAAGAATGCAACTTGCCGATCTGATGGGGAGCAATAATGAAATCTATCTGTACGACTATGTATTATTCTGATCAATGCTATAAAGTAGCATAATGCTCATCTTCATTTGACATGAACTTTACACACTGAAAAGGCATCGATATTTATGGTATGGTAATTTCGAAACATTGCCTAGTAACCTACTAACTCTCCGACAATGAGAATCACTTGCAAAACAAATGACACGCATGTAAAGGACCCTACGAAGACGATAGAATCCACTGCGACTTGAGGAATTTCAAACTTTTGAGGGAAATGAGTAAAACAAGTGATCACTCTGGTGTAACACCCACCTTCTGAACCACTCTGAGTTGGGCTTGCTTTGAGGGATGGTATTGGATGAGAAGAAACAATAAAACACTGAGAGTCAAATTTCCAGCAGAAACAGTGAGGGGTTGGCTCCGAAACATTGCATAAATCTTTTGGAGCACTCTGATTAGGAAGAGCAGGTACATCAGAGCACCCGCCTTGAATAGAACTTGGGAGAGTTGAAGATGATCTATCTACTCGATGGAACATTAGCCTATGAAACAAATGCATGGTAATCATACACTCACAACCATGTTTTGAAATGGTTCATGTTTTGGGCATCCTGACTCCTCCAAATGACATTCTGACCCCTCAGAAGGACGACCTGATCCCTGCAAAGGATAAGCTGAGTTCTCAAAAGATGCCTATGTTGTAATTACCAAATCTATGTATGGAATATATGTATAAACTCACATTTGTCTTGGAAGTATCGCGGTTGTCCATCATTTGTCCTGGTAGAGAGCCGGCTGAGTTCTGCGAGGGAAAATTGTCAGATATGTAACTTTTATTCACAAAATGCATGCGCCCACAGCTCTCCTCATCGGAATATCAGTGGTCAACAGTGAAGACGCTTTCACTGGAATATCTTCGATGGCACTCATGATATGCTCTGTAGTCTTTGCATGGTAGATCAGCATTATCGAAGATCTATGCAAATTAGCTGCTCACTATCTGCCTAGATACAGCTTCAGGTTTCAACGGCATAGTCGCATTATCCGTGGACTCGGGTATCTGACTATCACGTATGATGGGTTTCGAAGTAGTGACTGGTTCCTATGAACGCAAATATATATCATACTGAGGGGCGTATGTTTCAGAGACACACCATCTTTCTGAGGATTTGAGTATCGGTGGTTGACAGGATGAACGCGCTTGTCGTAAATCCAAGTATGAGATTCTCGGTGATATCGAAATCGCTCGTGGTAGGCCTTGGAGTACTGCTTGAGCCCTATGGAAGTACATGTGGTCAATGGAATCAATTGACGCAGAAGCATTCAACTCAATAACATTCAGGATGCTCCGGTCTGTGTCGCTATCCTCACTAGAGCGTTTACAATACTCTATCGTCTCATCCTCGCTGTCAATGGCCCTGTCGTCGTCCCTATAAGAGTGCGGTAGAAAGTTGCATGCCCGCTGGAAGAGAATCAGTGTTTCGAAGTAACAGGAATATGAAGAAAGATTACCGGCGATGGAGCATATGATCCATGATGAGCAGGTTGTTCTTCTTCTGCATTCATTAGTATGTACCAACCTTCACTGTCGCGAGTGAAAGTTTTCAGTAAGATGTTGTTCATTTAGCCTCGTGTACAGCATGGGGCCATAACTTGGAATGGCACTTAAAGGAATTCGATGTGACATCATACTAAAGCGACGCGACGGACTTGTTGTATCAGGTGACGGAGTTATGACAACTGATCATGAGTAATCACGGATATTTTCATTCGTCCTTTCTTCCCTTCTCTCCTCGTTTGCAGTAGCTTTGCACTGGCGATTCCACGAGTCAAACTACGTGGTCTCGATATTGTAAGACCTGGGTCAAAATGGGTCTTAGGGTAGGTTTGGTATATGAAGTTTTATGTTGTAGCGTGCTAGGAGCAGGCTGGAGCTCGAAGGGAGCTACGAGAACCGCGACCGAGGACGAGAATGACCTAGTAGTGTCTGGAACGACGAGATGATGACCCTTGAGGGGGTCCCTAGGAGGTCCAGGGAGGTTAAGGAAGAGTGCGGGACCGTACAGTATTGCGTAGTAGGAGTTGTACTTGCTAGAACGTCAATATAGGATCGAGTAGGTCGTATATGCAACTGGGTCTCGAGAGTGTAAGCTCCCGAGAAGGGATATGTCAGGAAGGGTAGGTCCCTGGGGGCTGAGCTTGAGGATGGACGTCCTCGAGTGTGGGAGGTGGTAACGGAGAAGCAATACGTAGTCCGACGTGAGGGGTAGCTTCGACATTACCTAGATCGAGGTCCCGAAGCTTACGAAGTAGCTAGGGAGCTCTGGGAGGTTTGGGGAAGGGTAGCTCACCAAGGCGGGTAGGCGTTGGGGAGCTTTAGTAATGTTCGAGGGAGCTCGGGGACTCACTCGGAAGGCTTAGACTTGAAGTGAAAGCATATATTCGATCGTATAGATGATCAGAGAGACAATAGACAGAAGTAGAGAGAAACAGAAGTAGAGAAACAGAGAGTAAAGAGAAATCCGTATGGTTAGCAGGTACAAAGGGACAGGGACTGGACCTATGCAAAAGGGTGTGTGTTCAAAATATACCAAGCTGGCGCTTGGAGACGTTACGGAGCTACTTAAATAGGTATGGGAAGTGAACAAAGGAACATCAGAGCCTAGGGGACATGAGGCAGTAGTCAAGGGAGACATTTGATCGAGATTTGTACTTAATGGGGCTGGTGCTAAGGAGTTTCGTACGCGTGTCGGGAGGTTGTCAGGATAGTCTTGGGGAGGTGCGTAGTACCCGTGGTCCTGTCTTGGGGAGGTGCACTACCTCGGGGATGTCTTGGAGAGGTGTAAGGAAGCATGTGGGATGGTGCTGGGATTGGTTGGTTGTGGTCAGGGCATGACAGATATAGAACTCACACTACAAGCCGTGGGGAACTCGTACCATACAAGATCACGATGGGACAAGAGAAAAGACGACTCAGATGATACACGTCAGAGCTCATTTTGCTGCACTCACAGACTCTGGTTCAGGTGTAAAACCCAATGTCGAGCCCGTGGCGGGTCGCGACCTGGATCGCCTTGTACTCCTGGTGCGGTACGTCGTCAACGTGCTATTCAGAACCCAGCTAGGTTTCCCTGCAGAAGTCAACTTCAACGACCTCGTCGCAAACTTGGGGTGTGTGAACTGTTCATTCTCCAGATCTACAGGCCGCCACCCGAGCTCTCGCTCTCTGCCTTCGTGATTGCACCAAACCCATAATTGATAGCCCCCATCCCTGGTATCCTTGTGGACATATATTGTCCCTAACATTCTGGGAGTTGCGGTCTCAGGAGGGGGAGCGTCGAGGTCGTTCGGCGATTGACTATAGTGCCAGGCAGTCTCTCCCTCGCTGTCATGCGACCTGAAACGATTTGTCTCTAATTTTGTCAGTCCGAACGAATTGTTCCTAACATCACTCGTTCGGGGATTTCCCCGCAAGAAGTACTTCGGAGGCCGCGCCTGAGGCTCGAAGCTCACTGGGGTAGACCCCCTATCAGCATGTTTGGAGGAACCTAGCGGATGTCGGTATAGAATTTTACAAAGAAGATGGATCACTAACCGAGGATTTCGGTCTTCTTAAGAGCTCCTTTCTGTGGAGGGGGAGTCTTCGCTCGTCCTCTCGTCCTTCTGCACTCGATTTCAGTGTTCCTAGGATCATTACAACATTGCATCGTACTGGCTTATGATTCTTCCACATCTGGATCGTGATAAATCTTTTGGATAATCCCATCACCATCCAGATAATAGCTGCAGTAGTCATATGTTTGCTTTCTCCACCATCCAGAAGGCTATGAATGGTCAGCATTACTTCGCACTCGAGGTTTGATCAATCGACAAACAGTAGGACTTCCTGTCTCCAAGTCTGTGATGCTATCTGGTTCCATCAGGGAGCGGTTCTGAAACCCCGTAAATGTACCTTATACTTTCTTTTCCACGTGAGCTTCTTGGCATATGCAACACACGGGAGTGTTCCAACGTTTTTGATGCCCACGATAGGAAATAAGTGCCAAATGGTTAGAAATTTGCCCAGTGACAGGAGGTGACAGGTCGCTAATTTCGCTCCATCATGCAACGGGCTATCAGGCCCCACCGTTTGCTCCTCAACCTCTTTCGATCGTTACATTCACTTGCGAGTTCAACTCCCTCATGAAATGGCTCGCCGTTGCAGAGCTAATTCGGTCAATTCGGATTTGCAGCCATGTTGTTGTCAAGACTGTCTCAAGCAGAATCCGGAGGGATTACTGATCCCCCAGTCCACTCTTACTGAGCATCGGCATCGGGAACGTCTCAGGAAAACTCTACTAAGTAGGGCGGACAGGTTGCAAACAGTGTCGACATCACCTAGTGTAGTACCAGAGGCCTCAGGGTCTGACATTGCACCCGAGTCATTCTTGCATGGAGATCAATCATCCCCTTCCGAAAATCACCTTCTCGGCGGAAGCAACCATTCAGATCCAAATTGCTTTGGCGGAAGTCATAATCCTAGCCCAGATACAAATGATGAAGATACCGGCGGCTGGTTACAATCTGTGGTATCCGAAACCCGCATGCGCTTGGAAATTCTATACGACTGCGAAACTCAGCTCACTTTCATCAAAGATCCCTCTCCGAATATTCCTTATGTTTTGTCAGATCATGAGAGCCTTTTACAGGTGAACGCTGGCGACTTCGCTCTGAAGACCACTATCATAGCCAACAGCCGCTTTTTGGACACCAAATCAAGGTTATGCAGCTTGATTAAGACGATCCAAACATCGCCGCTGGAACAGCGCTTAGTTGGGGATATAGACGTAGAGGAGGAGCTTCGCGAAGCGTTGGGGAAACTTCATCGCATAAAGGAGAGGCAATGGGTATCTCAGGCGTATCCTGACGGACGTGATGGATCCACAGTTGACAATAGTATGTGTTGTGTACTATCCTATCGTTAGTCGCAGTGACTAAATTCACCTAGGTCGTCGCTTTTCTCTGAGGCAAATGACAGATGCAACTCCCATCCTTGTAGCCGCTTTGATCATGCATATCAAATTCCGGAGTCCAGTGCGTCATATGCGGGTAAATCTTGCGCTGTTGCGTGGGATCATCGAAGGGTTTGTGAGAAGAAGCGGGATTCAATCAAGAGTCCCATCGCAGATCCCGAAGGATATTCACACTATCGTTGACCAGTATGAACTCAATCCTACTTTACACGTCGCGATTGCATGCCCAAAATGTTATGCTTTATCCCCGTTCACCAACGAGGCGCTCAAACAGGCTGAGGATGCACATGAAGCGCACCTTCCTTTCCCTGTGTGTGAAGAGAGATTAGACCCGGATTCACCGCCGTGTGGAACTACATTGTGGCACACTCGTCATAGTGGAAAGTGTTTGTTCATGGCCCCAATTCGAAAGCAGGTTTTCCAGGATCTAAAAGCGTGGATTGGGAGAATCTTAGCTGTGCCCGGCATCGAAGATGCTATCGCAGAGCATCAGCAATGCCAATCACCAACGAGCTCCGACACAATGACAAGAGACTTTGTGGATTCTGTTGTATTTTGTGGATTCAGGGGCGTAGATGGGCAGCCGTTCGTAACATCTCAGAAAGGAGCTGCTGAAAATCCGGATCTTCAACTTGTAATGAGTCTTGGATTTGACGGGTTCAATCTGTTTGGGCAGCGAGAAACTCATGCTCAAATCCAGTCCACAGCTTTGTACATGGTAATTCTGTCACTACCGGAGCATCTTCGATATCGACAAGAGTATATGTTTCTGGTTACTGTCATGCCTGGAAAGCCCAAACAACACCACGTCAATCATACCTTACGGATTCTGGTCAAGCAACTGCTGGCTTTCTGGGAAGGTGTGTACTTCACGCGTACAGCACGTCATCAAATCGGTCGAAAGGTTTTTGTAGTACTGCTCCCCATAGTTTGTGACACGGAAGCTGCAATCCAGATTTCAGGCTTTGCTGCCCACAATCATACCTACTTCTGTAGACGATGTCTCCTACCAATCAGTGATATCCATAACCTTGATCCAGAAACTTGGATCATGCGGGACCCTGTGAAACATAGGGAGCTGGCTTTTGAATGGAAGGTTGCTTCACGGGCACGACGCAAAGCAATCTACAAGGCTCACGGAATCCGGTTCGCGCAGCTAATGGAATTGCCATATTGGGATCCCATCCTCTTCACTGTCATCGATGATATGCATTTCGGATACCTTGGCCTTTTCAAAACCCATCTTCGTGAAATATGGGGTATTGATCATGAGAAAATCAGCGGGGATGGACTTCATCCAGACTTATCAGGCAAAAAACGCGTAAAGTTGTCCAAAGCAAGCTTACGCAATTTCTTGAATGAAATTCGAGAAAACGAGACGTCTTTAGGAGCTCTCTTGCTGGAAGAGAAGAAAGGGGTTCTGTGGTACCTGTGCTTCTGGCTCAAGCTACGTACGGGACTTAGTAGCAAACAGCAAATGGTAGACCAGATTCTGCAATGGGTGAGTCTTGCATGTCATTGACTACTTACGTGCACTGAAGCTAGTACAGCGTTTGACCCTTGAATCTGAGCAAGTACCTACAATCCCACCCCTTGACTATAATCAGGTCCCGGATGGTTGGGAGGGTAACAATTCGGGAGAGGAGGTGAGTATTTTCTTTTGCACACTTTTGTTGGCTCTGAAGCTTCTCTCACATCAGCGCCACCCCATAGCGGAAATCTCAGAATCCCAAGCTTCTGATATAGTCTGTCTGTTTTGTCCTCACAACTGACTCACATATTGATTGGTTTGCAAAGTCCTTCAACTCGAATCCTTTATCAAGGGCTCCATCGGTGGCTTCATCCATCCCTTCATCGATCGGTTCATCTGTCATAAATGCTAATGCTCTACCACCTGTATCGCGGCCTGCGCCGCCATTCGTCTACAGTAAAGACTCGGCATTTGAAAAACTCAAATCCAAATTACTCAACCTCGAAGCTAGACCCCCTTCACTCAACAAGAAAAAAATCATTCTTCGAGCGTTGTGTCAAGATCTGAACATACTTTACAACCTAGATGACTTGAATAAAACCCTTGCTGGACGACTCATGGTCTATGTACGTATATTTCCTGAGCTGCATTGAAATACTTCTGAGTATCTCGGAACAGCGTCAAGAAAACGGAGCCAAGAATGACAAGGATCCTTCGCAGATGCGATACAGTCAATTCAAATGGATTTTTGAGGGGGACGAACCCCCGAAGTCCATAATGATGTCTCAATTACTAAAACATCTTGAAAAGCTCTGTATAGAGTATCGAATTCCTCCATTTGACTCCAACGTTTCTGGTGGCGCATTCAAAAAGGAGGAATTAGCACAACGGTTGATATTGTGGGTCAGTTAACATGAAGTATCCTTGTGTTCGAGCCGTCATTCATTTGCTTTCTTAGCGTCAAGAGCATCGTGACAGCTTTCTCAAACAGACTTCCCCACGGAATGTCATTGGGAAGGATCTTCTAGGAGAAATATGGGCGGATATGGCATGTTCTGTGCTTCCCAGTTGGATTCAAGCACCACCTTCAAGATGGGGTATACCCTCTGCAGGCAAGCTTAGTGCTGATGAATACAAAGTTGTATGCTCAATCTCTTTGGTTGTGACCTTGATTCGAGTATGGGGCTATAGCAATAAAGAGCAACCACAATCTCGTCATTTCCAGATGATGTTGAACTTTTTGGAGCTAGTTCGTGGAATGCATGTCATATTTCTTCGTGAGACATCTCAGAGCTCAAGAGCCTACTACAAAGCCCGTATCCAGAGTTATTTACGTGGAGTCCTAGAACTGTTTCCTGACGTCACTCTTGCATCCAATCACCATCTTGCGCTTCATATCATAACTGACTTGGAAAACATGGGCCCAGGATATGCTCGGAGTACCCCAGTGTTTGAGCGTATCAACCATTTGTTGCAAGAGATTAAAAAGAATGGGCATTTGGGTGAGCTCATTTCTCAAGCATTCCTTCTTATTTTATTTATGTTGCATTCTAGGCGAGGTTGAAGTCACGATGATGAATTCATACGGTCGAATAGCCAATCTCCAGTTGCTACTGAACAACTATCCGGAACTCCGGGAAGAGATCGGTGAAGCCTTGACGATGCTGACCGACATTGATCATGAAGATCATTGCGGTATCTTTGCTGGGACTGATTTATCGGCCTGGTCCAGTACGGAGTTTACCGAGACCCCTGTGCATATCGATAGATCGGCTCTGGATCGCATTGTGCACCAATTGTGCAGAATATATAGTGTTCAGTACTCACACTGGGACGGCAAGGTAGCCCGACAAGCTCATATTCTAGGGGGGGCGGCACTTGGACGGGTGATTTACTCCACGGGGTATCGTCAAAATTCCAGCGACGAAGGAAAAATACTCGCAGGAACAATCGATAGGCTCATCAAACACTCTCATCCTCATCCTGTTTCCCAAGATGTGATTGTGACTACGTATGTTGAGGCCATTATCATGGAACCAATCAGCGAGGTGGATGATTTGTATCGGTCACTCAATTGCGGGTGGTTATGTTTACAAACGCCAACGACAAGGAGAATTTCGACTGTGCCTTTGTCAAATGTGATCTCACATTTCGTCAGGACAGATTTGACATTACTGGTCAAAGGGAATTCCGTCACACATGTGTACCCTGTCCCAAAGGTATGTGTATATATTATCTTCTCGGTTGTTGTATCTAATTCTAATGTTTGGACACAGGTTTTCCGCGACAATGACTCGGGAATGCCGACCCCATTGTAGTCAGTACGAAGGATTTGAAAATATTGTCAACCATGGTGACAATTCACTCCCCTCTCCCTTTCATATAAGCGACCGTCGTTATTCACCTTTGTTAAACAACAGTGTCTTTCTTCGGATATACTGTCGGTCATTGTCTTCAATCCCACACTAAGAACACAAAGACCTCTAATAATGATTGTATATAAAGTACCGGTTCTCAAACATGAGCCTTTCATTCCTCTTGCTACTGATGCCCTTGATCATGAGTTCAGTGAGTATTATAATTGCCAACTTATCTGCTGCAACTTGCTTCGACAGAAAGTTTGTGTAGTATCAGCCGAGCGCACCGAGCGTTTGAGGCTACTAGAAGAACAGGCCCTACTTAAATACGAAGAACTCGTTCAGCTCCGTGGAGCAGTTCAACGGATGCGTTCACGATGTGTGAGTTTCTCCATTTTCTCATAATCCTATCATCCGCTAATTACACAATACAGGAATTAGAAGCTAATACGGAACGCTTGAAATGTGATTTTTACGACGCGACGGTCTCAGTGCATCGACTTAGAACGGAGATTCTGGCCTTCCTTGGCTGTGCCACAGCCGATGACCGATGCAAGAAGGTAATCACAACAAACGAGGTATGTGTCTATACATGCCAGTCCTTGGATAAATATTTCTCAGTCATCAATTGTAGGCGAAATACTTTTGGTCTTTCGTGGATGAAGTGAAGTCAACTGGCGAAAGGTTGAGCAATGTCACCGTACGTCGTCTTTCCTTATGTCTTTTGTCCCTATTACCAATAAATTGTTCTCTAGTCTTTATCGTCCCCGCCAGCATCAGATTTGGCTATGTTGCTAATTGAACAATCTTTGAAACTTGATGAGTTGGCAGGGAATTTGCACCCTGGTGTTGTCGAAGAACGTCTCCGAAAACAGTGCAATCAATTGTGTAATTTGGCGCGCACACTAAAGTGATACATGAAGTTGTTTATTAGAATACAATAGCACTGCTGTCTCAAAGGGTAGCAAACGTTGGAACAAATACATTGGCAGAGCTAAGCTTATTCCAAACAACGTGGGCTGGGGTGATCCACAAGACATTAATATACATTATCGTGAAGAAAACATCATACGTTGCGCATAAAGTATCGCATTCCGAAGGTTACTGCTAAGAAAACTGCGGCTCCTAAGTCTCCGATGAGAGAAATTATAGACCACACAACAAAAGTGCAGATGAAAGTCCCTGCGAGAATGGTGGCGTCGACAGCAGCTTGTAAGATAACCATACCCTAGTATGAAAATAAGCTGATTCAATCAGGGACAAAAATATTAGGTCACTTACAGTCTCATTGGCCTCACCAGCGGTATAGCGTTGGACAAAAGCATACGTCGCAACGCTTGGAACCACGAAACTGACAGCGACGGAATGGGGCTGACTATGGAACATTACTGATAGCTTCCAGAGCATTTTTGATACAAAGAACAGGTAGTTCAAAATTCCTGCAGTTAAGAGGATTTTTTGAAGTCCGAGATCAATCACCTAGACTGAAGACATGAAAGGAGTGCGGTATTAAGCTCAATTCCATCACTCACGAGTTTATTGAAATGATCACTACCATTTCTGCGAATACTCTGGTACAGTGAGAAGACGTTGTTAAAAGAAGGATCCATCTGTGTATATGGTGACCGTCTTGACTGAGAGCTGGGTAGAGCGTCAAACGAGCTGGGGTTTTGATCCGGCTCCAGATCCTGGAAAATTGTCACTCAACGATCTTTGACCACAATGAATGACGATACCAAAGATTGTTTGTTGATTGTACCCAGTGCATGTGGATCCATACTGGATTAACTGCGTGAAATGATTTTTGAGGTGCGACGCTTCTCTTGGAGGTGGGAATTGAGAAGATAGTTGAGAAAATAGTTGAGAAGACCTCGTGTAGGACATGTGCATGAGTATCAAACATGTCTCGACTATCAACAGAATGCAAACGAAAGCCTTTGGATCAGTTAGAATATATGTCGAGTTATGTATCAGTCATGTACTTACCAGATAAAATAAGTATATGTGAAAGACCGTGATAACTCCAAAGTACTAAGGGAGGAGCGTCTCCGAAACCTTCCGCACTAGACCACACAACCTCTGTAGGACCCCTGTTCCTCTTTCATGACCGCTGCGCTCTGAACGCGCTGGGAAATTTGCAAGTGAGTACCTAAACCAGTGCCGATTGTAAAGCCGCTCATTCGTTGTATTTTGAATTCTGTGAAGTTTTGTGAAATATGCATATGCTTGACTTGGGACGAATTAACGAACTTGTTTGTACACCCCCAAAAAAGCGCGCAATGGAATACTTCTTCTATTATCTGGTTGATAGGAGCGTAGTAGTGTTGATGAACAACTATGGAATCCGGAAAGCAATAAGCGAGTTATACTCGATGATGCTCAGAGGAGGTCGAAAGGATAGTGATAATGACAGTCACGGTTCACCTAATCATGTAACATTCATAGACGTGACACGATACGCCTTTTCTCCACCACCATCATACTCAGTTTTCCAGAGTCAAACTCTGGACGAGCTGCCTTCCTATCTTCCTACTCAGTGGGACTGGTATGTGAACGACGATGACGACGATGCATACGAATCAAGAGGCGCCTAGTCTTTGCTCGGATTTTGCACTTTACCAGCATCTCTTCCTGAGAACTCGCTTCACCAGCCCAGTTCGACAGAGCCAAACTCTGTAAGAACACAGACTCTTTCTACAAAACCTTCCCCAGTCGCTGGCATTCAGCTACATGGGCCTGATTGTCTACTGGTCAAGGAACCAGAATACCCGCTATCAAGGACGTCACTACTTAGGCCCAATCTGTGCCGGATTTAGGACTCTACTCCCTCAAATTGAACGTTCGGAAAAATGAGAATTTTGGAAGGGCTGGTACTCGTAAGATAGTTCAGTTTAGACCTTTGGATACAGAAGGAAATAGGTGTGAAACGTTACTTCATGTATAATCATTTACTCAAGCTCTTTCTCATAGCGTCACTTATCTTCAGGGCTCGGTAAATATGTCCGTGAGTCTCAACCTTCGGCTTAATCTCATCATTAGTGAGCTTGTTCTCAGACTCATTTCATCAGTTTGAACATTGACTTAGTCATATTCAGTATCCACCCAATTGTACATCGAGATTGACATCCGTAATTCTGGGCTGGGATGGATCGTTTTGACTTGATTCTGAATGTTCACTGCAATCATCTATACCTTGTATTACCAATGTGACTTCCACTACCCAAGTCTGTTGTTATCGATAAGTCCCCAGACGACTTATGAGAGTGATAACAAGGCCACGGACATGACAGACATTCTTGTCTGCCTTAAAAAGTTGTCGGTGTTTAGAGAATGGTTTTGTTCGATCCCATCTGCATCCACAAAATATTGCATATTGTTTCTCGCCTAATTCCTCATCGTCTATAGCGCCAAAAAATCCTGCGTTCCTTACAGAGTGTCCGGGATCTCTCTGCCCATCCCGCCATCGCTATTCTCGTGCTCGCAAGAGGCGGGAAAGGAAGAAAAGGCAGAGGGAGAAAGCAGGAGAAAGCAAAGTGGTAGTAGGCAAAGTCATTAAAACAATATGTTCCCTCGAAATGTCTCACAATAGCTCTCCTTCTTCGTGAACCCAGTGTTATCGGTGGTGGAAGAAGGTGTGAGGAGGTTGAGGAAGAATTCGGAGGGAATGTAGAAGTCTAAGGTAGTGGTGGAGACACTGAGTTTCAGCGATGCTGCCGACCTTCATGGCCCGCAAAGATTGTTGAAACATTTGTTCAGGAACGTATACATACTGAGACCGAGGGCGTTTTGTTTCGATAACTTGTACAGCTATTCCAACGTCTTGAGCCTCTTCGACGTCTTTATCGCCTATGGCAAGGATAGAAGTACGACGGAAGGCATATTCAGACGCTGTACTGAGCCTCGACTCTCAGCCGCTTGAAAGACCTGGCTGGAGAAGTACAGTGGGATTGTGGGCTGGAGCGCTGACAGATGAATGTGACCTCCCTGGCTATTGGAGTGGCAGGACCTCCGAAAGATAGAGCTTCCGCTCTAGCAGTCTTTTGATGTTTTCGACCCCTCGGAGCACCCCAGAAGATATACATGATGCGGTCTTTCGAGCTTGGACATCAACCTCCCAACTGACAGTCTCGAGAATCACTGGCGTGAACGCACAGCTATTGCCCGAAGCTGCAGAGGATGTGACTTGTGTTATTGGGTGTGCCAGTCACATCGATTTCAACCAAATCTTGCTGTACCCGGCCCTCAGCAAGATCCCACCGTCTTTGATGTTCTCTAACCTACCCAATTTTTCGAAGCGGCGTCCTGTGAAGAAGTTGAAGGGGCAGAGAGGTAGCGGTAGAGCTGATGACGATACTGGTGCCACGGATCAATGGGGAAACGGGAATGGGAGCCGAAGTAGAGGAAGGTGTCGATCTTTTGACAAACTACAACGTCTCTACGATGTTCGACAGCGGCGAGCGATTTCTGACGCGGACGGGGAAGGATATCTTTATGCTTACGTTGATTCCAACGAAGTAAAGATGGGGATGACGAAGAACTTCAATCGTCGCAAGGAGGAATGGGACAAAAATTGCCCCCACGCAGGGAGGATATGGTTCCCGCCTGTCCGGGTCGACAATAGGCGGAGAGCTGGTGAGTTGTTTGACTCCTTCTTGTTCTACTGATCATGTCTTTTCAGAATCATTAGCTCATCTTCTTCTTGAAATGGAGTGCGTTGACCGCCCGCACGTTTACTGTCAAAATTGTATGTACTGCACTTCGATTCCATTTTCTTTCGTGGCGATATAGAAATCAATAGGCCAAAGAACACACATCGAGAAATTCATATTTTTTGGACCTTGGCCTGTAGTGTGGATCACCATCGTTTATCCCATCCTCTTGAGGGCCGCCGTTGCATGAAGGTACCCGATTTCTTTATTCATGGAGAATTTCCGCTGATATTCCGATAGTAATATCAGACCTTAGCATAAACCAGTGTATCCTGCTGTCAATATTAGCCTCCAACCAAATTTTTGAGCTTCTTTGCATCACAAAGTTTTCAATATAGAGATAGACCGTCAAGATATGTATTTTTCCGAATATCATGGAGCTTAACTGACAAAATGTGAAGATATACTCTAGACTAAAAGTTTTTCTAGGACTATGCAAGCCCCCACTACGTCTGCAATCAAGATTACTCCTCACAGACTCAACGGTGATCTAAAAAATCGAAGACTTGCAAAAGCTCAATGACCCTCAATGACCTAAAGGACCCCATAATGTAAATTGGTAGAATTATTTACTTGTAATAATCACCCATCTCGTCAGAATGAAATATTGTCCTTGATATGAATTTTGACATCCCCGACAGCAGCGTTGTCATGCGTTCCGACATACCGACATCGCCGACATACCGACGTTCAGATGTTCTGACCTCGGCAACATCTGGACGTTCAGACGTCCCGACATCGGGTATGCATAACCTCTGCGAGGTTGCTTTAAAAACCCTCACCATTTCCATGAGGCGATTGTGGGTATGAATTTTTGATTTTCCTGGGCAATATTTGTCAACTGCTATCATTAAAAAAATCTCAATTTTGACACTATTTACTCTGAAAGGCAATACTTGATAACATTCCAATAACCGGTGTCAGGAAAGTATACATGTTTTGTGCGAGTTTATATTAGATACTCTCATTAAGGTTTATTGGAGGATAATTAAAAATATCGCTCTATATTTGCTCTATAAGATACGTCCATTTATGGAAGGACTATTTAAGATTTTCGCCGATTGGAAATTGAGGAGTTTAGATAGATAGATAGATAGATTGTTACTCAGCCCCACCACGTTAATGGTGTGGTCCCCTAAACGGAACGGCCGGTCTCAACGAGCGAACGACAGCGAGCGCAACCCACAAGGAGAAGGTAGACTGACGCCCGGACGTTGAGGCAGAGGAAATAGATAGAGGTACATGAGAGGGTAATAAAGTATATCCAATCGATAGTTAATCGTTCTCGTTAGAACTTTTGTCATAGCTCCCATCCAATTCTTGGTGTGTAAAGGCCTTCCATATCACAACTACTTCATGAATAAATCGCGCAACCCGATGTACTGTACTCCAATTGAATATAAAAGCCTTGAGGTAATACAGAGATTCAACATTGGTGAAAGTCCGAGTTGTTGGTAGGGGGATGAACACGGCGACATCAACGAGGAATTCGTTCCTTAAAGTAGTGATTGCGGCAATTGCAGTGCACTGTAAAAGGACGTGTTGTGGGGATTCAGGTTGCAGCGGTGAAAGACAAGCACGACACCGTTTCGAATGGTTTTCATCGAGGTTGAGTGAGTGAATACGAGCTGGGGAAGAGTGGAAAGTGATGGGCACCATATCCCCACATAGTAGACAGGTGAGTGAGAGACGGTGATGGGATTTGTATACATGCGTGAGGTAGTGGCGGAGGGTATGGGTAATGAGTTTGTTGGGTCCTGTCTTCTGTGGTTCAAGGCGGTGTTGTAAGAGAGCAAGTCGGTTGCTGTAGTCAATCTCGGTTTGTAAGCGCGAATTTGTTTCGGCTGTGATGGACTTGATGAGCGCGAGTATGCTTTCCTCGGAGATGATGGGGAGAGGTGGGAGAGAGAGAGAGCAGCCTGGTAGATGTTGTATCACCCAGTCCAGGTCGGACAGCCAACATGGAATTCCCGAGGCACGCATGTTGTGGTTTTCATGAAGGGCCAGGCTTGCGTAGTGATTCCGAGGGAGATTGATGAGGTAGATGAGGTAGCGCAATGCTAGGATGACTCGCCGAGCACGGATAGGCATGATCCCCGTCTCGGTGAAAAGAGGTGTTGTCATGGACCGACGAGAGAGGCCCAGTAAGCGACGAAGGCAAAGAAGTTGGACCTGTTCTAACATGGAAATAAGGAGGTTGTCCGTGTCGATAATAACCTCACAACCATTGATGAGGTGGCAGTCGACAAGGGCAGAGTAAAGTTGCTTTGCAATGGAAGGGTCGAGTCGTTGATGTCCGATGATGAGCTCGCAACCAGAGATGCCTCCGGCGGCTGTAACGGCTGCATCGCGTTTGGTAGTGTAGTGAGCTGCAAAGAGGTGGCGGTGTGACAATTGAAACTGTATGCCCACATAAGTGACAGCATCCTTGAACGGTAGGGCCGAGCCAGCTAGCCACAGGGTGGGTAGGGTGGGAGGTAGGTAACCAAACAGCATAACCCAGGATTTACCCGCGCTAACAGTGAGGTTGTTGTTGTGGCAATAGTGTTCGAAGGTAGTGAGGTGGCGTTGGAGGCTAAGGGCAGACCGGGTGATGAGAACCATGTCATCGGCATGTTCGAGGTGTGAGATGACAACTCCGAGGAGCTCAAGGTCATCAGGGTCATGCCAGAGATGGAAAGTGGATAGGAATATGTTCCAGAGTGTTGGAGAGGAAGGGTCCCCCATAAGTACTCCGCACATTGCCTGGAAATAGGCAGACAAGCTTCCGTCATGTGAGATCACATATGTCATCCGTTTGTAGAGCGAACAGAGCCAGTCAAAGTATTGACCGGTGAGTCCTAGACTGGCGAGCTTAATCCATAGAGAGCTCTGATTTGTGGAGGGGAAAGCATTAGATATATCCACAAATGCAGCGAAGAGGGTGTTCCCAGAAGCACGTGCTTTCTCAATGAGGGTGCGCAAAATGAATGCATTATTGTTAGTACGATATCCTGATCGGAAACCATTCTGCGAGGGGGGAATGACCTGAGCTTGTTCCAGTGCATGACTGAGTTTGAGGTGAATGAGCAGGGAAGCAAATTTCAGGACACAGCTCTTGAGTGCAATTGCACGGTAGTTGTTTGCATCTGAAGGGTCCTTCCCTGGCTTGGGTACAGCAATGATTATAGCGATTAGCCAAGAGGACGGAAATTCATTGCAACGGAAGGCTCGAGAGAATAAAGAGGCAAGGAGATTGTTAGGAATCCCCATCAGTTGGGAATAAGTTGCCGCATCCACCCCAGTGGCATCAGAGTGAGTAGTACGTTTAAGGTAGGCCTTGACAGAACCGACATCATGTTCAGTAACGGCAAGGTTGAAGTCGGGATGGGAGGATTGGGGGGATGGGAAGGGGATCTCATTTGCCGATGCATCCAGGTGTTCTAATATTCGAGGGTCAAATGAAGTTGATGTAGTGTCGGGTGGATTCATGCGAGGAATGAAGCAGTCAGTGAGTTGAGAGATGGTGACCTTTGGAGTAGTTCGGTCAGGTTTGCGTAGTGACTTGTAATGATTCCAGAAGGCAGTGCCGCCTGCCTCGGCGGCGTTACGTAGTTTTAGCAGTGCTTTGTCTTCAAGTAGCCGTCGATAGGAACGGCGGCGGTGCCCAACAGTGAATTCATCAGTGAGGATGCGTTGAGAGTTGGGGAGCTTCGGATGGGATCGGGGATCAGGTAGCAGCGTGGAAACTTTTGGGATAAAAGTAGGGTGAGCGGGGTGAAAAGTGGGTGGGGAGGGTAGCGCAATGAAGTCAAGGTCAGAGAAGGGAGCAGGTGGAGGGAGCGAGGCACCCTGTTTGGCAAGCAAATCGGCAGCATCATTGTGGGCATTCCCAGTATGAGACCGAACATGGGTGAGTACAATTGTGGAAGGGCGGGATGCGATCCACAATGCAATTGCTTTCAGGAGATCGCCATTGGGGCAGTCCCAGTTGCATTGATAGTTGTCACCAGCACCATAGACAATAGACTGAATTGTATAAGTAGAGTCCGAGAAGAGTTCCAGGCGGCGAGTTGGTGTTGAGCGCTGAATAGCAGCCAAAATAGCATAAAGTTCTGCTCGGTTGTTTCGTTGGGGTCCAACAACGCGTGCCGCGAGGTTGTGAGGGTTGCTGGGACCATAATACACACCCAAGCCAGCGCGTGCAGAGGCGGAGTTAGCTGCTAGGCATGAGCCATCAGTATAGATTTTCAGAGGTTGAGTGTATACGTTTGGTTGAGCGTGGCCATAGACTTGAAGCAGGAGGTCTGTGAGAGTAGGGGGGTCGGCCGATAAGATCCGCATCTGGAGGAGGTCAATGTCAGAGGTACAGGGGGCGAAAATTTGTGGTCGGCGACGAGGTGCCGCAGTTTGTTGGTGTGGTTGGGGCCCTGGGAGAATGAAGTCCCAGTAGAGATAGGCATGGTCCGACCATTTGGTCTCCAAACTTATAGTGAAGTCAGAGATGAAGTAGGAGGTGAGGGATGAGGATAAGAGGTAGTCAATAACTGAGGGGAGAGTGATAAGTTGACCGAGGCTGTCGCGGCGTTTTTGAAAAGAGGTCCAGCCATTGTTGGGATCAGGTGAAGCGGAGTCGGAGTGAATAGTGAGTTCGAGTTCTGCACATAGCTGTAATAGACGACGACCGCGTGTAGAAACCACAGAGTCAGGCGAGAATCGGGTGGGGTGGGTGGGGTAGGGGAGGACATGGCCTGTTCGGGCGTTGAAATCACCAGCAACAACAAATGGGATATCCAGGGCAACTGCGAGGCGAATGCATTGAGCCAAAGAGTCCCAGGGATGGAGCTCAGCCCATTCTGTCCAGTCAGTACGAGAAGATTCAGGGAGAATGTATACATTGAAGAAGACCACTGCATTGATTTCCACTGCCAGGATATCTGGGCCACAGAGGTCAAGCCTAACGCGACATTGGAGGCCGTCACGGACTAGCGTAGCTACCCCACCCCATGGATTCTCGATGTCAGTGTGTAGGGTCCGGCGATTACGTGTGTAAGCAGTAAATCCACAGGGACAGCGAATTGTCGAGTGGTGTTGTAGTCGTGTCTCCTGAAGGAGGATAATATCAAATTTATTCATGAGGTCAAGGAACTCAGAGCAGAGGTAGTTAAGAAGGTAACGGCCATTTATATTCCAACATAGAACGCGCATTTTTCGAATTTGTTGGACAGAGGAAGACATAGTTAAGGTAGAAAGGGGAGCAGAGGGAGAAAAGCAAGAAATGGGAGAGGAGAGTGAATGAGGCATGGATGGTAGTACAGAGGAGGAAGAGGAGGGCAGTACAGATGGTGTTACATAAGAGTAGGGTACAGTAATGTTCGATGTCATAGCCAGGAGCACATAATCAGAAGGAGAGGGGGAGAGGAATAGGTTGGAAGAAGTATCGCCAGTCCGTTCCACGCCCCCGCACCGCCGTCAATGAGTGCTGTCCCTGTGAGCAATGACATTGGTTAAGCCAGGTACGGAGGTGTGGTGGGTATTCCAAGCGGCGAGGAACTCCTCGATGCCTTCCTTAGAGAAAGTGAGGCGGAGTCGATAGGGACCTAGACGAGTTATATAACCGACCCGTGGGAGCAGCACCCGCGCCGCGGCATCGAAGTCGGTAGACCAGGTATTGTACATTTCGAAAATGTAGTCAATAGTGGTGGGGAGAGGCTCCCAGTTGGGTGGAAGGTCAATGGTGACAGTGTGAGCAGAGCGAGCATCATAGCGATGACGCTTAGGATCCCTATTGTTGGCATCTACATCGTCGGCACGTCGTTTACCCGCCTTGATTGAAGAACCAATGGTCGTTTGGGGGGCACCGACGTTGGTCGATGGGGAGTTGTCGGCAGGGATCAGGGGTCCTGGTTGCGTCGTTGAGGGTCCATTCCGCAAACGGGCCAGCAGGGAGGGTGAGGAAGGTAGAGGGGAAGAGGAAGGGATTCGTGATGAGTGAGGGGCAGTTTTGGAAAGCGTGAACAGGTGATTGTTGGGGCGAGAAGGTAGGTGCAGAGGTGAAGGCCCATGAGGGGGAGTGACAGGGGTAGAGGCATTGAGCATGTCCTCCATGGAGGATAGAAGGGTGTTGATAGTGTCGATGGGCAGGAGAGAGGTTAGGCGTGTGACGAGGTTCGGTTCTAAGCGATTGAGTTCCGTAGAAACAATATTAGTTATTTCCTCCCGTAGAGAATTTGAGATTATCTTGTCCAACTCCGCCCTGGTATCGTTCAGGATCTCGCGACGATGTGTCGCGAGCGCCGAAAGCATTGAAGAATGCATTTCCCCCACCCTGCGTTGAGTTAACTGTTCCACTCGGACAAGGTTAGCCTCCACCCTCAGGATCTGGTTGGAGTTGGTTTCCTTTCCGACCTTCGGTCTCTGTTCCAGCTCAGAAGAGGGAGGGTAGGTGATTGTGCGAGGGACATTGTCCGGATCCTTTGGTTTACGCGTGGTTGATGTGGTACCAGGCTTACGCGCGCGGCGACCTCGAGAAGGAGGAGGGGGTTGGAGACGTGCGGGAGTGGGAGCCACCGATGTGCCCCCAGCCGAGGTGAAGGAGTCAGCTGATTGGTTAGCTAGACTCCGACGGGAGGAAGGTAGCGGAGTCGAGAGAGAGGGTGGAGGGGGTTCATTCATTGTTCGACTGTGCTGAGCACGACGATGCAACATACCGCTAAGCTGGAGCATACGGGATGCCAATGCTGCCGGATTGGGTGAAGCAGTGGTCGGACTCCGTAGTCCAGGCTCTTGAGAGGGGCTGTCAGTGATTTGAAATTCGTTGTCTTGAGCCATGTGAGACACATCGTTATCGGTCTCCTCCTCTTGTAGAGTTTGGGAGTCTCCAACCTCGTTGGTAGAGTCCTCGTAGTCACCATCGTCGTAGTCAAGGGGGTAGTCTTCGTCGTTACCGTTATCCATGGTGGAATTGGGTGAAACTCGAGTGTGGTGTGTTGTGGCGACCGCACCAGTCTGAGAGGCCTCCACGTCGTTGTCAGATTAGAGAAAGAACGACGGGGGACCCAATTAGTGCCGACGCCGACGAATTAGAGGGGTTTTAGAGTACGAGTTAGCAGAGTATAGGGTAGGAGCGATGTAGAATTCTAAATTTACGATTAAGCGCCCGCGAGATGATGGTGGTTGTGTATTAGTATTCTTCATTGTACCAAACCTCCCTATAAAATCAGCCTTTCCTGGGTGAGAAAACGGATCGATCCCCGCAGTGTGGGTCTGGAAAATCAAGCAAACGGGAGCGGAGAGCATTTCCAACCTCCCACGCTGTATCAGCGGTGAATGAAGAGAAGGTCAATGACTTTTCGACCTCTGCAATCGTCTTGATATCGCGAGGAGGAGGAGCGATAGATGACATTGTGGACAGAAGTCACGATAGGATTCAATCATCTTCCCACATTCTGTTCCTAGACCTTAGACGTAACGAGGGGCCACGGTGTGTGTCAGTTTCCGAATGCCCATGAGTAGAGGTCATGCTATTTGAGCGAAGATTAACCATACTAAGGATATATTGTTCCGAGACCATACGTGGAGAGCGACGACAACTGAGAGAATGTGGGGCAATGTAAACATGATGTGCGTGCGATATAATAATGGTTTTGAGACTTCCGATATCTACTACTGGTATAGAAAATGAGGACTTCATATGTATGCGAGGGATGAGACGACGACGAGAGCAAGATAAGATGGAGGCGGGTCAACACGGACAAGGTCAAATCGAGGCAATAGTGGAGAGTCATTCACATGCCAGCTTGACGACTCAGGATATAGTGGGTTAAATCCTGCCATCCTAGAAATGGAGAGATGAGAATAAATTCATAGAGATGGTGGAACTGAATACTCGCCACCACCAACACGACACATAACTTTCTTCGTCGTCATCGTCCCGCTCTTCCCCGACCTCGTCAACGTCGTTAGTTTGCAAGTGACTACTTTCCGGCTCAGAGCATTCGAAAACGCGTATTGCGCCTTGACCTCCTCATTCTCTCCTGGTACTCTCTTGATAGGGGGATCAACCCTCTCTATCAACAAGCCATGTGCAATAGAGTTGACAATGAACGCGACTTCGACGTCAAGTGGGTCTTTGTTGTTCCCTGGAATGTATTCACAGGTCGGGAAACCTGAAGTCCCCGATGGGGTTGAAGCACCCGCTCGCGAGGTAGATCGCGAAGGCGCACGACTGCTCGAGCCATCTCGGAAACTCGAAGGCGGCAGAGAAGGTCGTGCAGACGAACGGCCAAAAGTACCTTGATAGACAGGCACCTGCTGACTCCTTGCCTTTAAAGTGGACTCCGGTGTCTGCGAACGCATAGCATGAGCTTTAAATGTGAATGACGGACTCTCCGATCTAGCTCGAATTGACATGGATGATCCAGGTCTTGAAGGAGACGAAAGATGCAATGCGGGAACGGGGATCATAGATCGACTTGGAGGCCGGGGTGGGTGTGCGCCTCCGTCTCCGGGAGTTGATGTTACACTTTGGGTAGGAGAGAATGCCCGTCCCGAGACGGATTCGTCCTCATCCCATCCAGCATCAGATTTACCAGCTATATATCTCAATTTATCTGAAGGTCCAGGAATATGACTTGGGGTTTTTGGTCTTGGACGGGGTGTAGTACTTGTGAGACCTGGAGTACGAGCACGAGAAGGTGTCTGCGCTCTTGACGGAGGCCTAAATGACAGAGGGATGGGAGGGGGAGGAGGGTGTGGACGATAGAACGCATTTGAGGATTGGTTCGTTGACACAGACGAAGTTACTGGAGACCACGGACGAGAAGATGCCATCGATACCCTTGAAAGACTCCTTCTGTATGTTCCATCACCGAAATTCACGGACGACGATGAGTAAGATACATCGCTATACAGACCAGCAGCCGAGGGGGCTCTCTTGGGAGGAGTGCCTTTGATTGTCGCTTCAGGCTCAACCTTTGTCGAGCTGTTCCAAGGGGACTTATTCAGAGTTTTGCCGCCATTATTCTTGGAGTCTACTCGTGCATTCCGAGGAGACGAATCTGGGGTGAGGCTCTGGCTGTATTTGTGGGAAGGTCGATCAGGAGTGATTGGGGTGGTTGGACCACGAAGGGATGTAAAAAGAGATGTCTTTTGTCGACGAAGAGGAACAGGTTCAGAAGAGGGGGCTCGAGCACCATTATTCTTATTTATTGAAAGTGGCGTCACGGGCGACACTGGAGACCTTGCACTACCTGTCAACCTCCTGGCAAACTTTTTGAAAGGTGATATCGATCTAGATATTGTACTAGAAGAACTGGGAGCACGTCCACTCTGTGGAGTTGCAAGATATCCATTTTGCGTGGATGCGGTGCCAGACGAACCGTGCTCGCTGCCTGCGTCGCCGTGCGTCAAGATTTGACGCACAGAATCCATATCTGCGTCAGTCCGAGCTATTCGTTCTCGTAGATTCTTCCATCTTTGAGCGGATTCCGCATGTCGACGTAAAGTTTCACCATTCTTTGTCACTCTGTCGCGGACTCCCTTGTCAATGATTGCAAGAACCTTTGATGTGGCTGGCATGTAGTGCCTGGAAGATTAAATATGAGAAGGTCAACAAGAAAGGTGACATGAGATCATACTTCTTCTTTGCTTCGAAAGAATCCAGCAGCGCAGTGAATGTTTCAAGTGTTGGTGCAGTCTTTTCGGGCCGTGTAAGCGAAATCTGCGAGTGACCCATCGTATCCTCAATACCTCTCCTGTGAACTTGCCATATAAATTCCTATCAGCGACCACGTTAGCATCTTCGCCACAGTCGTAGAAAGAACGCACCTGGCACCGATTAACGCCCTTTTCCAGACTCGACATCATCCCATCTGCTTGGTCCGTCACAGTCCGAAACACGGTCAACCACTTATCTTCCTTCAACTCTTCTCTCAAAACTTCACTCTCGTCTTGCACAGCTTCCCATTCGGAAACCAACGTGTTGTGTTTGCGAATAATAGCCGCAGTTTCGTTAGCTTCGGCTTCGCTGCCGTTGTGAGGTATCGTAGGAGTGGCTTGGAGATGTGGATCAAGGGAGTCATTGATAGATTTGATGCCTTTCGACACGCTTTCCAGCTTCTCGTCCAAACTCATTAAGGACTGATCAATGATGCTGGTTGTACTTGCTGCATCCCCGTTGGATTGTGACTTGTGCCTGAGCTCTTGAATCTCTAGATGATTCCTAGGGTTAGTAGAGGGTTCAAACAGTAGCGGAAGTATACTGTGTACCGAAAATTCGCGTCTGAATATCAGAGATCATGTATGAAAGTTCCGTCATATGTGTGGATATGGCGAGCAGCCGAAGATCTCTGTAAGGAATGAGCATCACGCCGAGATTGAAAGCCTAAGAATTAAAGACGTACTCTTCCTGGCTCTTCTGCCTGGTAACTTTCTGTTGAGGGATTCGTTTCGCAGTGATAGTGATATTTTCTGAACAGAGAGCCCCGTTAGTTAAAGCTCGCGCACTCACGTACCTATACACACCTTCATCCTGCTGATCTAAAGACAGTTTAGACGAGGAAGCGCAATTAACGGATTCTGGAGATGGTGGAGCGTAATTGCTGCCAGATGTAGAACTGGACAATGAACCTTGGGAAGGCGAAAGACTGAGAGACGGCATATTGGGGGCTGAGAATATGACAATTGGATGGAAAGAGTGATATGGAATTTATGCGAGTGCTGAGCGGGACGTGTTATCTGGATACTTGACAGTTGTATCCGCCGAGGTCGTGGAGTGCCACTATCCGAAAGGTCGTTATCAGGGGTATAAGAGGAAAGTCGAGCACGACAACGGCGGATCCGTTGTGATTAGGATTGCTGAAACGGTAATTTATGGTGAGATGGGTAAAGGGAAAGGTGGTGAAGGAGGAATAATTAATAAACAGCTTGCAAGTCACGAGCTGACGGTGACCATCAACGCGTCCTTAGTCCTAAGTCTCTATACAGAATACTTTTCACGACTCTTCGTTACCTTGGAATCCTCGCAGTCACGGAATGACCGGATTAGATGAATAGTCTACACATTCTTAAACGTCGCAGCCAACGTCTTGGACACAGTTCTGACCGCTGTTATTTCGAACAAGCCCCATCTCAGTTTACACTCATCTGATGTAGACGATCTCAGTGACGAGGAAATCCTAACACTCCTCAGGAAGGCGAAGAAAGTATATGCTAAGCGGAATGAAGGGAAGCCATTGAGACAACAGTGAACTCCTGCAAGCCTCCATACCTGGCACAGTGGCCAAAAGACAGGGACGAAGTCATGTCGGATGCATCAGAAGCCAACGCCCTGAACCTAGTATTCGAAAACACCACTATCTACGTTGTGTCATTAAGCAAGAATGGGACTACATAATCAGCATCGAGTGTATATCAAGGGCCCAACTCTTGCTAAGGTCTGAGACGGTTGAAGGCATCCCCTCCTATAAGAGTCTATAGAAGATATGTGGTCTCAGACCCGAGTTCGCATACGAAGCGAGAGGTCCTCTGAGGTCCTCGATGAGAATGAACCCGCCCAAAAATCGGACATATGCGGGTTCCAGGTACATACTACTAGTACAAAAGTGCAAATTATGTGATGCAACTCAAAAAAAATTGAGAACTACGGTCAAGTATTCTACAGTGAAAGGGAATTACAATAGTTCGCATCACAGTACTTCAGAGTACATCAGACATGGAAGAGCACATACCAGATTGGAAAGGGACCAACATAATCAATTACTAGGCATTTTCAGACACGTCGTTTTCAGCCCATCTCCACTCCATTTGGCAACCTCCACCAGCAATTCGAGCTTTTTCTGTGTCGCAATGGATGACCGTAACTCGTAAAGTGTTGCTAGAGATCTCAAAGGTGAATAGAGGTAATTATCAAGACAGTCGTAGGCGTGCTCACAGAGGTTAAACAGAAATGGTTCTGCTACCACGACAGCAGCGGGCGACGCTTCGAGTGCCTTTTCTAATACTTCTATGCCCTTTCATAAAAGTCAGAGGCATGGTGGATGTAAAAAGCAGACAACTTACTTCTTTCAATCGTCCTTGACTCAACAAAGAGACGGACAAGTTATTGACAGCCTAAGTAGCGTAATATAATCAAACGCCCTGCATATCATATCTCTCTCGATGATAACTTACCACGAAATTATCTGGTTCGCTCTCAATGAGATCAGTCAATATCGTACTCGAAAGATCCCATTCTCCATTCGCGCAGGCTAACAATGCCCGGTTCATGCCTTTCATGCCCTCAGTAGCGTCAGGACTCTGCTCGACAAACGAAAAATGTGTTTTAGCTTTCTGTATATATCCGCCCTGGAGATAGATTCGCGCTAATGCAGATCGTAGGGCCGATGTTGGCTCCGATTGATTGCATAAGGACTCCAATAGTTTCGTGGATGCACCAAAATCCTTGAGTGGTAAAGCGAGAAACAAATCAGTAGTGCATAAGAAGAGGAACGAGGGGCACGCACTTTCATTTCACATAACTGGGACGCAATGATCAAAGAAACCCTCGCTGCACGTTCTTTCCACATCGAACTTATCGTTGGATCTGATTTTGGAGCCTTCCTTGCCTTGAGCTTACACTTTCTCAATAACGCATTGAGCGCGTCAAGGTAGCCCATATGATCTCCAGCCCAATATTTGAGCCGCACGTACATCACTTCGAGTTCAAATGGAAGTAGCTTTTCAAATAACCATGACTTCGCCTCTGGAGGTTCGACAGTGTTCAAGACAGAAAAAAGGTTGGTGCATTCGACGGAAGTTTGGTTGAAGAGGCGTAGTCGTGATAGGCATGCTAGACGAAGATACCATAGCTGATTCAATTATTGAATTGGGGAGCACAGAAACGAGTAGTATAACTCACGCCTAACACCAGAGCCAAGTCCTCTGGGTCGGTAGTGACTAGTCGATCGCGCGCCATCCTAGCTAATGCTCTCCAGCTGTTGGTTAGCTGAACAAAATTAGTAATACGAACTCGTCTCGGAACAATGTTACTCACCACGAGCGTATGAAAGTTGTTCTTTTGCCATTCTCCAGAAATGTCTCGCATTGGACGCCTCTCCGGTGGATGTATGTACTTGTTCAACAACGTAGTTAATGGATCGGTCTGTTGGAGTTATAGATTACAGAGAATGCAACAATGAAAGAGAAAGTTTACATTTGGTATGGGCAGAAACATAGTAGGCAGCACAAGTCCAGGGAGATATATCTCTGGTGCGTCTTCTTCTTCGCTTTCAGTAGGCGATGGAGGTCCATTTTTGATCAAATTCTGTTGACTGAATGATTGAGTGGCAGTAGCCACAGAAAGTTCTTGCTTTCGTTTAGCGTGAGCTTCTGGTTCCTCGTCTGAAGCATCGGAATCAATGAGAAATGGATCGGGGACTTCAGGCTCGATATAGACGTTTGGCGTAGTAGATAGTATAGACTCTGAATGGTCATTGTCATTGTCATTGTCCGAGAGTTCAAATCTTGCTCTACTGCTGTTTTCCATGATGAAAGGAGGTGAAATGAAATTGACGGCGCTTAAAGATTAAATAATACAGATTTTTCCCATTCGATTCTCTTAGGATTCTTTCTTTTGCCATCTACCATCTGCTATCTATGCGCTTTGATATCTTTCTCTAATTTCCTTCATAATGGGTAGATCCGTCAATGTCAAACATGAGCTTCCTCCGAATCCGGTGTTCAGGGAGATTGAGCGTTCGGACGGTGACCAGGACACCTGGCCCCAAAACACGACACGAATTGTCGATTCAGATGGGCAGGTCAATTACATGCAATATGTGCCTTCTGACGAGGGGATGGCTATAAAGTGGCGTGTGCAAGTCGGTCAAGCACTGGCTAATGCCTTCAATTGGCCCAGTAAGTTCCCTATCTCAAGTCTTCCAGTTGCATAATATTCATATGTGACTCGCAGAGGGGTTTAACTATGTGCTAAAAGACTGGCCTGCCAATTATCGAATGTTCATACACAACAAGGGTCCTGTCTCAAACCCCCGGCAAGACGTTTATCTATTTGGTATGTTTTACTCGAACAGGAAGGTTAGAATGGGTGTTAACGTATTTTAGGATCGACAAACTCCCCAAAATTTCGCTCCGTACCAGAACTCATACCGCATGCTATATGGCTCTCCAATGATATGAAGGGAAAGTGCCAATGCAAATACTGCTCAAAAACCAAACAACGGGAGATTACCTCTAACATGGGAGAACGAGGAATCATTGAGAAAACGTCTCCCGGCCCTTCGAGCTCACCTTCGCGAGTTTCGTTACCGAAACGTAGACCACGGCCGGAGGGAAGCGCACTTCGAAACCAAGTCGTGTATGCTGCGGTCCAGAAGGCCAAATTGAGAAAGCCTTCGACCTTCATCGTTCCCAAACATCCCGCACCTGTTGAAAAGGTCACTGACCTTGAAGCTGCACATCATGATAACACCGCTTTACTACTCAGGCGGTGGTACAGGAATGATGAGCTTGTCTGGGTCGAGCTAGAGTCGCCGATCGCCGGACCTAAAGGAAACGGCGATGTGATCAATGCTTGGCCAGCTATAGTAGAAGACTCGTGGACACGTTCCAACCCTTCTCAAAAATCTGAAGATAGTACTACTTCATCACAGAATGGCCTATACCCCGATTACGATCCCGAAAACCCTCCTTGGACAGTCACCCATCATACCAAGTACAAGTTGAGATTGCTAGCCACATCGTGTTCTATGATGGCGCGAGACGACCAAGTTCTTCCTTACCAAGCCTATCTGCCGCCGACGGAACTCATTTACGCTCTCCAAGACGTACCGCTTTCCAAAATCAGGCTCGATGCAGAATACACAACAAACTTTACTCCCGTCATTTCTGAAAATCCCGAAGAGGCTGCTTCTCCACCTCCGTCGTTTGAGGATAGTACAGGCCCGTATGCACTTGCTATTCAGATTGGCTCCCAAATTGCGGGATTCTGGGGTCTCACGGACGATTGGGACTTCAAGTTTTCCTTCAAAAGCGACCCGCCCCCCACGCCGCCGTCTGGCCCCTCGATTTCTAGTTCTGCCGGGTATTCACTACAAGATGCCATCGTCGCCGCGAGTAATAGCAATGCTTATAACGCCGGCCCTCAGACATCTTATGGATCCTCTGATATATCTGGAAATCGATATATGACGGTAGAGGAATTGAACCGAACGAAAGCCACGACGCTTGGTGCACCTAAAGCCGTAGGTCATACCTTTACGCAGAAAAATTTTCATGGCTTGTGGTGGGGCGCCGAAAGGATTTGGACAGGAGATCTCTTACGATTGAAGATAGGCCGAAATGCAATTGCAAGAGACGGTGCACCTCACATTTTAGCCCCATCACCAGCCGGTCCCAGCGCGCTTTTACATAGTGCGCAGAATGGTGACAATCTGGATCCAAAGGAACTTGGTGCACGCTCACGGGGTGTCTTCATGCGGCTAGATGCGTTGTTCACGGTAGAGGTGGACCTTGGGAAGGGACGAAAGCGTAACGAGTGTAGAGCTGCCGGAACGTTATATGAACTTGCAGATATTGACTGGGTTGATCCTTCAGAAGACGCAGCGAAAAAACCTTCGTCGACGCCATTAGGAACCGATAGTGCTATCTTTGGTAAAGATTCCAATGGGATGTCAAAAGTCCTTCCCCAGCCCTCTCCATTAAAGCCTACAGCCCTGCCCAATCCAAACCCTACCATTCCTATAGCCGAAACTGCCCCACAGATGCTTTCAGAAATTCTACCTCACTCTTCCGTACCTGAAAATAAAGCAAATGGTGTATACAAACCACCGATCCCGGTTTCTCACTACGATCTACCTCAGCCTCCCACTGGGTTCAAATTCCGTCCTATTCTCGATCCGGGGTACGAGGCCGTATTTAGTCTTACCCTGTTAAGTGGACGATACTACCCTGGCATCCTCGGACATCCTCTTCTTATGGAAGCCATTCATCAAGCACTCACACCGGAAGGAAAGATTGATCCTCAGACTAGCCATCTGTGGGCTCTGGAAGGTTTGGAGCCTGGATTCTCCAACTCCGTGGATCCTATAAGATATAAGAAGGATAGGCTCAGGATGGTTGTCGATGGAGAGGTCAATGCAAGGGCGCAGCTAACAGAACATCTTAGTTCTAATTCAGAGCAGGCTGATGGTGATGTATTGATGGAGAATGGTAATGCAGAACAGAGCATGGAGGTTGATCCAGTATCAAATGATCAAATGCAGGTGGATTCATAACTGCAGAGTGTGCAACTTCGTTTTTTTGCTTTGGGCCATGTACATATGATCATATTCCACTCTACCGTGATGTTAATTCTACAGCATTCTTGAACGCCCCCAGTAACGCGCTCATCTGAATTTTCTCACTACCACCAGTGGAAAGGCGGTATCTGTGTTCAGGTCATAATGTTGGCTTTCTACATGGATAAAGAGCAAATACGTACTCTGTGGTGGCAAGATGATCGAGGAGATAGATTCTAGCATGAGGTTTGATCTCGATAGTCTCGATGTATTCGTACACGCCAACCAGGAGATCTTGAAGCGCTAGGCCACGCTCGGTCTTCATAGTCGATATCACTACAGATATGTGAACAAATGCGTTCAAATTTCTTGGGGTAACTCACATTGGTGGGCCGTTGTAAATTCGTCGGATAACATCGATTTCACAATAGTCTCGATGTCAGAAGGATGCGGACTTCCCGTGCAATTGTATATCTCCGTTTCGGAAGTTATATCGTAAGCTGCATGGCATGCTTGGAGGACATTGAGTGCGCGCCGCATGTCGCCTTTGGAAAGCTTCATCAAAGCCTTCTTGCCGTCGTCCGTAACTTTCACCCTGTGAAGCAGAATCATCAGCATCAGTCGAGAAAAGTATGATTAGCACACACTTTTCAGTCTCTATAACCAGGTTTATCCGCTTCTCCACTTCTGATGAAGGTAAAGGCGAAAATCTGAAGCGTGTACATCGACTCTGAATTGCAGGCGCAATCTTGTTGACATAATTACAGATAATACAGAATCGGACATTCTTGGTGTACTGTTCGATGACACGACGCAATGCTGCTTGCGCTGCTTGAGTCATCATATCTGCTTCATCGAGGATGATGAGTTTGAAGCCTTTGGAAAAAAGCGTACGCGTCTCGGCGAATTGTTTGATTTGTTCTCGGACTACATCGATACCGCGGTCGTCTGACGCGTTCAGCTGTAAAGTGGATTTCTGAGAAAGTATGTGCCGGACAACGGGTAGTCACGCACTTCCAGGATCTGCTTCCTGTATTCTTCCCCATATATTCGGCGAGCCACTGCTAGAATAGTAGATGTCTTCCCTGTACCTGGGGGTCCGTAGAACAAAAGATGAGGTAGTCGGTTCTTCTCGATGAACTTTTCGACTGGTAAACTCTGAGATTGTACGCGTCTGCTCATTCAAGAAAGATTCGTACTTGTGCTGGTGATATCTTTATGTGATACGACATCGTCCAGTGTGACCGGACGGTATTTTTCCACCCTAAAACGCGTGAATAGAACGAATCATGTTATCGCTGCGACAATGGCTTACCATGGTAGATTTTCGTTCAACTCGTGAGGTGGGAAGTCATTGCTGGATGCTTTTCCCTTGCCTTTCGAGGAAGAAGGTATGGAGTCGATGTCCATTACCTCGTCATTGCTCATTTTGCAGTAGTATATTATTATAGAGATTGTGAGGAGAGAGGTGATTCTATAGTCACGCGACTCGAACACAGCCCGGGCCGCTTAACCTTTTTATACCCGATTCTGGAGGGCCCGATGTCTCCGCCGAACAGTCTCGAACAGTCCGAGCCAAATATGACTTCACTCATTCAGAGATATAACTCTCGACGATTATCTTCAATGCAGCGCTCGCTATGTACCGAGATTGTGCAGATACTGAAGGATGTGGGGAGCGAAGGATCGGGAACCGTTAAGTTCAGACTGCATTCGAATTCAAGCCGGAGCCTAAAAAATATTCACCACTTTTGACAACTAAATACTCGAATACATGCGCATGTATTCACCCGCAAGATACAATCCTAGTTGTTATCTCTCGTGAGGGACTGCTAAGTTATTCGGTTCGGCGATATTGCTCACTACTAGTGCGACCGTCAGGAAGGCAGATGGATTTTGCGCCATTGCCAGTGGTAACCCGCAAGATGAGCCTGATTGATCTAGCAGAAGGCTAAGCTTTATCATCTACGTCGATTTTCCTTTTTTCAAAATTTCTCACTGAAACTCCCCGTGAGTGGTTTGGTTCTGCGTCGTCTGGTTCTGCGACACCTTTGTGTAGCTTTACATACTTATATGCACTGAACAAGTTTTCACACAACCACAACGTTCTGAATATATCCAATAACCAGTGTAACGTTGTCCTCTCTATATACACTCGCACTCCAACTGGTTTGCTCCAAAGGTTGCCTTCCTTTCCAATATTGCTATCTAACCCCTTCCACTACGCCAAGAGCCGGGATATTTTCAGGGCTGGAAAAATGCTACAATTCACTTTCTGTATGTTATCTCTCTCTCCCATGGAGTTCCAGATTCCGCACGGCAACTCTGTGCTCTCCATGCACCATTGAACCTTCCGGTGCCGCATCTCACCAGTGATTATCGTGGCTTGGGGGAATCTACCGTCTTCTACTGTTCATTGCCCTGGCACGGTCACACGATTTTGTGATGCCGGTTTGTCTACTTCTAACTCACCTGGTCAGGATATTATTTCTCGAGTTAAATTTATATTCATGGTAGGGATGTAGGTAGGTAGGTTGACCGACACATGTAGTTGTCCTCAATTCTTCATCCCCTCACAATAGACGCAACTGACCACAAAAAGCAGTGCATGATTTTTCCTACTCGTTCATCGTCTCAGTCCGGCCATTGACCACAACTTGCCAATTTTCAAACTTTTTTCTGAAGATATGTGCACTACGGGTAATACTTCAATAGATAATGACAAGATAAGATACTACTTGGCTCGGTCCTGGCAAAATGTCACGTATCAATACCGAAAACCTGCGCTCCAAAGGTCACACAGATTCCATCATGCTGCCAGGCTCTCTAGAAAATGGAGAATCACAACGACCTTGCCAGGTCTACCTTGGAATTCTTTGATGTGCAGGCATGCGTTATTATAAAACTCACAAACTTGTCACTGGCACCCTCCTATGAGGCCCCGGAAGTATGTACCCACTTGCGGCATGCTCTCAGTGAAACTAGGTCTAAACTTAGTTACAGCCTACATACCTTCTTGGGGTTTACTGTTCTTAAAAAGATGCTTCAAACCGGAGCTTCAAGGTGAGATGGCCGAGCGGTCTAAGGCGCCAGACTAAGGAGACCAGCACATCTGGTGTGCATAAGAATCTGGTCACATTGTGGCGTGGGTTCGAATCCCACTCTCATCATGTCTTTTTTGGAAGCTTGTCCCTGGCTTGTTGTTTTCGAATTTCGGGTTGTTAATAGCGGGCAAAGCATGGGATGAAAATCATTTTGGTCACAAACCTCTTTAAAGACCTGCGCCGGACGCAGAACAAAATTTTCGACGAAGACGTACAGTAGTTATAGCATTGAGCAGGACGTAGTTCAACTTCAACCAAATCAATGCTCAGTTTTCTCAACTTTTAGCTGAGGCCGGGCGGCGGTTAGGTTACTGTACCTGGCGTCTGATTCAGGCACGTGAGAATATCCTGAGAAACTGTACAGACACTGCCACCGGTCGCTGTGCTCTATTCATATCCTTGTTCTGCTCTAATACATCGAGGCTCTTGCTTTTGTCGAAGACTCCATCGTTATTTCGTTGGACAGACAGAGGCGTCCGAAAACAAGATGCAGATCTTCGTCAAGACGTGTGTAATCTCTCTCCCTTTTAGATTCTACCTTCTAATCTTTGCCCATTTCCTTCAGCCTTACGGGCAAAACTATCACCCTCGAGGTTGAATCCTCTGACACCATTGACAATGTTAAGGCGAAAATTCAGGACAAAGAAGGGTATGTGTGCACATCGTTCAATATTTTCCCCGATCTTACATATTCTAGAATTCCCCCTGATCAACAGCGACTCATTTTCGCCGGAAAACAACTTGAGGATGGACGTACTCTGAGTGATTACAACATTCAGAAAGAATCCACCCTTCACTTAGTGCTGCGTCTTCGTGGTGGTGCCAAGAAGCGTAAGAAGAAAACTTACAATGTATGTCGCTCCTGCTATCGCGAAGTGTCGGGTACATCACCAACCTCCTGAGCCTTTCTAGACTCCCAAAAAAATCAAGCACAAGCGCAAGAAGGTTAAGATGGCCATCTTGAAATACTATAAGGTGGATTCGGATGGCAAAATCAAACGACTCCGCCGTGAATGTCCTACTGCTGAATGCGGTGCCGGAATTTTCGTGAGTATCTATCCTTCTACGTTGCAATATTTAGCTTATTGATCTACAACCATCAGATGGCCTTCCACAAGGATCGCCAGTACTGCGGCAAATGCGGCTTGACTTACACGTTTACTCCTGGTACCAAGCCTCCGGCAGTTTAAAGGGGATGTGTGCCGTAGGCTATGCACTTTAGGGTTCACTACATTATGTTATGCTCTTATACATGCCAATGACAGTCTTGCTCCTTGTTATCCTTGTTGTCAGTATCCTTTGCCTGCCTTGATATGATATATCATCGCCATCATCGACAATTGAAACGCTTTTTATCGCATTGCCGTGAATCTTTGGTGGCACAGTCATTGAACCCAATAAACCGTTATCTCGATCGCAACCGGATTTTTCGTTTTCGTGTTGGCAGGCTTTTATACAGCGGATGCCGCTAGATGCTGATAGCGAATTTAGCAAAGGTATGTATAACAGGAACTCACATTCGGGTAGAGCTCGACGCTACCTTCTTCGATCGTCCACACAGTAAATCATGGCTGCAAATGTCGACGATATTCGTAATGCTGTAAGTCTTCTTCTTGGTTCTCCTAATTTGTTTTCTAATTTGATGACTATTTGAGGTCTACAAACTGCCCACAGATGTTAAAGAAATGGTCGTAAGTATTTCTCCCTCCCACAGTATCATGATGTATAGAGCCGTCCATTCTCCAGCGATTAGGTATCCAGCACTCCATTTGGTCCCTAATGATTGGAGGACTCTTCCCTGTCGGTGTCAGTGACCAGGTGGATCAATTACTCAATGACGCGCAAGGGAGACAAGGGACTGTCCTGGATGTCGGTTGTGGTTCAGCAATATGGTAAAAAGGTGATAGGTCGAGAGCTATGGTGCTGACTATCGGATGGCGCTTTTTGTCCAGGGCCACTAACATGGCGAAAACTTTTTCCCGTGCTTGGGTCGTAGGCCTTGATTTGAATGCTCAGGAATTCTCGTTAGTGATCAGCGTCTCCCGTGATTAGAGCTCATACTTAGCTTCTAATCATTTCCACAGAGATGCGCCAGAGAATTTTGAGTAAGTTGTTGTACACATGGTTTCTTGTCAAGGAAGACTTTTTCTCTGTCCAGATTTATCCAGGGAGACCTGGATCAGACCCTGCCAAAATTCAACGGTCGAGCATCCATCGTCCATTGTCGCTGTGTTGCGCAACATGTGAGCAGAAATTATTTCAACTTCTGGGCCTGTTTTTAACTCTACGGTTTTGATTAGGTCCGGGACCCACAAACTCTAGTACTTCTGCTTTCTCAAACCCTACGACCTGGTCGCTATTTTTTATGCCTTATTTTTATTTGAGCATTTTTTGATATCGTCAGTATACAGGCGGCATTCTACTCCTAGCCGATGGTGATTGGACTGTTTATGACCAACACAAAAAGCTGGTTGAACCTTTTAAATGGTGGAATTGTGGTACCACCAACTCAAATCCAGCGGAGCCGATAGTACTTGAGAAAGACGCCTGCGGTCGTTCGTGGTACGCAAGTTGGCTCGATTTCTTTGGCAACTTAACTCGGAGCAAAGATTATCGACCGATCGAAGAGCTAGTCAAGAATGTAGATACGCTAACGGTGCTAGACTCACACCGCTATCTCAGTCCAATCAACTGGCCTGGGGAAGGGATTGAGAACGGCGAAGACTTAGGCAGAATTCTGAATATCAACCAACGGGTGAGCTTTTGTTTGTCATCCCTTAGTATGTACATATATGGTGGTCTCACAAATCTGGTATCGTGATACAGGACTTTTTCGTTGGTGCTAAGGAAATTGCACTGCAGGCCGGATTCTCCCATGAAATGATTGAAGTTTGGGGCCGACATTACGAGGCAGAGATAGATTCTGGTCACTTCTACAATATGTGGCATTATCTCACTGCGCAGAAACGAGAAACGCCCATCAATCTATAGGTAGGAAAATTGCATTATAAGCGGACAGGCATCTAAGATACATTTCTATGGTACCGGTAGTCCTTGCCAACGAATCCGATGAATGGTCATCTAAGGTTTTCCGAGGCGTCTAAAGGTCACCATCTCTAACTGAAACAGTCAGAATGCTTGTAACAGTCTATAATGGTTTTGAACGGAGTCCCAATGTTCCTCATGTCCTAAGGTGCCATGAATCTCTATAACCGAAGGAAATAGACGGTTTAGACAGTGAGCCAAAGATTGCTCCGGTGGCGTCAACGCCGTCAGAGTTATACATCGCAAAGAGCTGTCCGAATTTTTGGCGAATTTCGTCGCGACATCTGAGGTCAGTCCAGCAATATTGACAGGTATCACGAGAGTTTCAAGAGCAGAAAGCCCGAGAGAGAGAACTGCTAGTCCAGCCGGAGTCGGCTTGGGCGTCCATCGGGGGTCAAATGTTGGAACAGATCCTAAGTCAAGATGTTTGAGCTTAGGCCACCATCGAACAATATGTTCCAGATCGTGATCTCGAACGAGAATTGGAGGGGTGGTCTCGAGAACGATTTGACGAAGTTCCCGGTGATTAGAAAGTGAATATAAGTGTTCGAAGTTAAGAAGAGCATTAGGATTGGTGCGAAGAAGGTTATTAATATATGAGTTCGAGGTATGGGTGGTATCTGAGCTACTGGGGGTATCATCTTCTAAAGGTAGATCCTGGGTATCCATATGGTGCTCTATCGTCAGCTGAAGAAGACTGGCGTGTGTTTTTTCCTTGATAGCAGTAAAAAGCCCGTCCCAGGTATCGTCAGTTGAAACCAAGAATTCTATATCGATACGTAGGACCGCAAGGCTGTCGCTCTGCATGCTTTGTAGAAGTTTTTCAATAGAGTTGGTACGCCCACGAATATCAAGGGATTCCAGTAATGGAAAACACACTGAAGACGAGAAGCGGAAGTCTTCAGGCCGGATATGGGACGTGTGAATTTCAAGTTCCCTAAGACAAGGAAATGTCGATATTGCGGCTAGAGTTTCAGCAGGCAATGAGGTACCAACACGAAGGTGAAGGGCTTCAAGACGCGATAGATGCCCAACTGAATTCATCACTTGGCCTGACGCAATACCACGTAGACTAAGAGAAGTGAAACAACTCGATACACGGTCTACAGTCGAAATGAAATCGGATGCAGCTCCGTTCACAGTTTTGAATGCGACCGTAGAGAATCCGAGATCTAATTCCACTGTCTGCAATCCCTTCGCCGACGAAATGATAGAACAAATAGCATGGCAATTGGTCAAGGAAAGCCGAGCTATGGCGAGCCTTCTGAAGCAGCTCGCAAGCTTCTCATCCTGGAGAATCAATGTCAGAAGTGTAGGATGTATTTGTATCCTCTGTCGATGTATAATTTGCTTGACACGGGAGGCGTAATAATGTAGACGTCGGAAATCGGGATGTAAAGATAATTCGAGGACCTGGTAATTGTAAGCATGTTGAATTAAACAGGCACCAACGCTCACATAGACTCCATTGACGCACAACAAGCCAGGTATGAGATCTAGCAGAGGTTTGAAGGACGCAAGACGCCACCAAACTCGATCTAGTGCAGGATCCTTCCACGCTTGGCAGGTTCGCCCAGCTCGAGTAAGAGTGCAGCTCTCAGTACAAAAACCGAAAATGACCTCTAAGATTTCATCTATAAGCAATGCTTGGTGCATTTCTTGAATCAAACGAATGTGGGGTTGAAAGACAAATGAGAAACATTTTAGCGCCCATCTTTTTTTTCGAACGTGAGAATATTCAAGATATCATTGTTATCTACTTATGTCGGGACTGGATCCAGAAGAAATTTTGAACAGCTCACTAGAAACTCTTTACGACTATCAGCCCATCACCTTAGCATCCACCGGGTCCGTGTTCACGTATAATTTGAAGAAGTCCAAAGACTTTGCAATAAATGTGACACTGTACACACCTGACACTGACGCATCCAATTGGTCTCTACACGCTTCGTCAATCTGGGCTTCATCGCAGTATCTCGTCGATTATATCGACGACCTCCATCTCGAATCTCATATCGCTGCTATCTCGCAAGAGAAAGTCCGCCTGCTCGAGCTCGGAGCTGGTGCTGGACTACCCGGGATCGTTATTGCAAAATCCCTTCCAGACTCTGTCTTAGTCACTGTCAGTGACTATCCCGATGAGAATATCATTCAGACACTATCGGAAAATATCGAAATTAATCGGGTATCCTCTAATTGTTGTGCTAAAGCTTACGCCTGGGGCACAGATTCCGGCGAATTGCTTCTGGCACAACCTTCCAATCAAATTCCACGTCTATTTGATGTGGTTATTGCTGCAGATACACTGTGGAACTCTGATTTACATACGGTTTTTATTGATTCTTTGAAGAGAACCTTGCGCAAAGCGTCCGGTTCTCGTGTGCATATAGTTGCGGGACTGCACACTGGACGGTATACCCTACAATCTTTTCTCGATGCCGTGTCGCAGTCAGGGTTTGACATCGAGTCTGTGGAAGAGAGGGATCGGAGCGGCTCACGGAGAAGAGAATGGGACATATCTCGGGCAGAGCAAGAGGACGAAAAAGAGAGAAGAAAATGGCTTTTGTGGATTGTACTCAAGTGGTCAGTATTTTCGTTTGCATAGACAATTACAATAACAGAAAAACATATATATTGGCTATTTTGTAACACATATTTTTACAGAAAGGTGGAACAGAGAACTTACCTGGATATGAAGAAATGAGAGATATGAAATTTACTGATGCTACAATTCCAGTTATCAATGGCGTGTTCGACTAATCCCATTGCCTTGAATGGGTGTACCAAAAGTCAGCACGTTGACGGATTGATGACCTTGTCGCGATTCCTACAAATCCTTCAGGTTGATTACAATCCGACAGAAGAAAAGTGAACCCCTTTACCAAAAACAGGATAACATTATCTTCGGTAGCATCAAGACCCTCGACTGGCAAACCATCGACCGACGAAGACGGGATAGACCTGCGACTCTCAATCGGGAAAAGGCTCGCTCGTGGACCGACAAATGTCCACCCTCTAGGAAATTCATCGGGCTCAGCGAAAGGCGAAAAATCAATGACACGCAGGCGAGTAGAGCGACTGCTGGGCGTAGGACTTCTCGAGGAATGAGCAAGCGCATTTTCGACGTAAAAGACTTTCGTTCCTACAACGCATGGACCGCGAATGGCACTAGGAGGAACATCTATCTCCTTTATAAGACAGTATCGACCCCACTGCCTCCATGAAACGCGGAATCCGTCCTTGCGAGAAGGGAACCTGAAGTATGACTCCTTCAAGAAAAGCCAGTTCATCGGGTAATATCCCGAATGGGAAATAGCAGCTGGAGTAGATGAAATAGCGAAGACACGAGTCTCAGGCGCAGCATAGAACAGAGCATCCGAAGACTGAGAGATATCGGACCTAGGCGACGTGTTCGGTAAAAACTTCACGATAGTGTTGGACCATGTTTCAGGCAGTTCGAACTCTCGAACGACAGAGATAGACGCCACCTTCGAGACATTGTAAAGGCTCATGATAGCAGAGCCGGATTTGGTACTGACCCCAAACAGATACGTCTCATCGAGGAACTGGATATCCTGATCGTCAAGCCACTACAAGATGAGGATGAGAATGCGAAGAAAATGGAATACGTGCTACCCACGCGTGCGTCAAAGTTCAACCAGTTTAAAATCAAATGTTTGAACCTTCCACCCGACAACTCGAGAGAAACAGCCAACTTTGAACCGCACACGAGGAAGGTCATGCGCACGATAGCAGTATTGGCAGAGATTGGGCTGGAGAACTCGTAAGTCAAGGCACGGGCGCGAGGGTGTTTAGCAAAGCTCCACAGATCCCTAAAATGGAGCTGAACACCAATCTGGCCTTGATGACTAGTGGGGAGAATATGATTTAGTTTTAATAAACATTGGCGCAAATGGATCATCTACAAACCTGAAGATTTGAGCGGTAACAATCAAGACTTCGACGAGGTCGACTACGACGCGGTCGACAACAGAGGTGGTAAACTTGAGGTGGCGAGTGAGAGCAGGCGGGCGATTCTTCCTGCAGGAGGGAAGCTCAGAAATCTCCACCGTGCTAAAAGGCCCATGGCTGTGGATCTGGTGGACAAACCCCCCTGAGCTACCTACTTGGGCAGGCGAAGAAATTTGTAGCCTGTGTTCATGTGTCCAAGCAAGCTCAAGCCAGCCTTTCCTATAACTCAGGAGAAGTTGGAGCCTGGAAATGGGGGGAGCTGTGGAATAGGGTACGAGCCCATCCTTCATTCCAGATACTGCAAGCTCATACTTGTAGCGAAGGGATTGATAATCCATTGCGAGGGAGTAGATTCGTCGAAATGCCTGTTACGTTTTCATGGGTCAGACTCGGACGAGAAGACTGAGATGAACAAGGACGATACCTTACACGCTCGCCATAGAGACGGCGGGTCAAGATACTCCAAAATTGAAAAGAGAACATCATTGGAAATCCTGAACCGAAGGATAGAAGCCTTTCGATGGGGAGACATGGCGAAAAGACTAATCAACCTGGCACTACCAGACGCATACCAGCATTTTTATACCTGAAGCTATTACTAGTGAGCTCTGCAAAAGACAAGAAAGAGAAAATAAAATAAAAAGGTTGCTCTTTTACGTCGAATAGAGGCCATAGCCTCGTGTATAATCAAGGAGTGGGACTTGACTTCGTTGTTTCTGAAACGCCCGATTTAAAATATTGGGGAAATTATCTGTTATTCGTAGGTGCGAATCACAAACCAGCACAGAATATCACCTAAAATCTTTTGTGAGTGGTATAGGATCATGCTTTTTCTAAACGGTGCCATGTCAACGATAGTCAACGATTCGTACGTTGATTTGTTTGAAGTAAGAGTAAGGTTTGCAAAAGGAGGCATAAGGAAGAAAATACAGGCGAATGGACAATAAGGACCTTTGGATGGGATGATAAATTCCGTTCTTGATACGAGCGTAAATGGTCAAAACGTACCGAGACCTGGGTATGTGTCGAATCTTTATTTCAAAGACAGATAGTTGTATGATCTATTGTGTGGTGCCATTGTAGCGCTGAGGGCTGAGGGACCAACAAAAATTGAACAGGATTCGGGATTCGAGATTAACTTAAACACGAAGGAAGAGAACACAACGAAGGATTTGGTAACGAACTTCGAAATCAACTATGATATGCGATCATGATCACAAGATTAGTAATCGATATTGCACATCATAGCACGTGTATGCATTATCGAGTCTTGGCCTGAACTCTCACTTGCAACTGTTGGCGGACTGTTAACATGCATTCGCATGTGAGCCTCCTTCGTCCGGCTCGGAGGGGGCCTTCGGCCCCCTCCGTTCCAAGTACGTCTCACATGTGGTGCTCGCTTCGAAATTCTAGTTTCGAGGGGTGTCGGTGCCGGCGCACCTCCGTAAAACAATTATCAAGACACTATAATGATTACACAAGGATGATATACTGAGCAAGTAAGAATGTACAAGGTAATGGACGATAGACAGTCGCGACTGAATTCGATGACGAGGGATTTACAGGGGATTACCAAAAACGGCGGTGGCTGTGACCTCGTGGGATTTGCGAATATAGAATTGACGAAATTTTTCACCCTATGGCCAGTATTGCTTCGCTTCGCTCGCAATTAAGGCTTTCTTACACCCAAACTCCCAACAGTTCTGTACCGTAAACCTTGCATAATCAGCATGGTCTGCAAAAAATGTGAAAAGGTGTGCTGCTTATACCTTTGACTCCGTTAACTGTTGAACTCACGCAATTGATGACAGAAACTCTCCAAGGTGGCCGCACCTGACCCTTTTACTTCTAGTTCATCCAGTATTAAAGATGGCTCCAGAAAAGTTGGAGAGAATAAATTGCTTAGCAGGCCAGGAAGTTCAAAGAATCGGTTTCAGGTACGTTCTTCAAACGACATTTGCGAATGAGATTAACATTCTCTTGATACAGCCTTATCAAGGAAAATGTAAGGATTGCAAACAACCGTGTACACAGAATCAGGCGAAATACTGTCATGGTCTGTCTCAGTCGACGTCTGTCTCACATCAAACACTCACCCACTACAAAGGTTGTGCCTATAAGAAAGGGCTTTGCAGTATCTGCGGCAAGAAAATTCTTGATACCACGGGATATGTAATGTCAAGCAAATGACATTCTTCTTTGCCGGTTTATATACTGTATCCTTGTACTTTATGACGGACTTGGGTGGAGCATTTGTATGTTGTTTTACGTTCTCGACTGCACTGTCGGTGTATCAATAGAAATGTTCACTACATATTGAACCTTCTCAGCCTTGACTTTGAACTACTGTGCAATCAGCAATCGCAGGTGAGCATATCCGTGCTGGTGAGTTTGTCGGCTCAAGCTATTGTCATACTAAGGCCAAGTCCCTAGGGTAGGTCACGTATGGTGTCAACACTGTAGCGGATACATTGACGGAGTCTTCAGATACTTTCACTTCTTCGCTTTGCCTCTCGTGCTCCCTGTCAGGATTTGGAATTTTCTGGTCAAGCGTTCAATTGCGGTCCGAAGCTTAGGACTTGGTCGTCAAGATCTTCACAATATCCCAGTAGCGTCCCATGCGTATGATTACTCCGATCTAACGGGAACCATAATTGTGCGTAGCGCGCAGCTGCTCTTCTCTTCGCACGACAAGATAGCCTCCCGAAAAGACGTCTGATTCTCGACCTAAAATCATATATAAGCGCACTTTTCTTCAATTGTTCTTCCCTTTAGTCCAATTATCTCTTCCCAGCATTTGTGAATATATACACTCTATCAACACTCTTTCAACACACTCCTTCACTATGTGTCTACGCGTCCACAAGCTTATCGTATTGTGGCTCGGCTTTGTTTTGTTAACTCTCGTCCCCCGTTCTTGTCTCTCGGTAGAGATCGACAGGGAGGGGCTTCCTGATACCGGTTTGAACACGACTGACTGGGAAACGGGGGCGCTTCCTCCTCTGGATGATATGTGGGAGCTGAATGACTTCCAAATCGCTGCCAAGAACGTTTTGGGAGCCAGGTGGTATGGTAAATGTCTCTCCTTATGCTATACATCAACCGCAACGAATCGAAGAATCTATCATTCCGCTTTAGCATCATATCGCACTGCAGCTTTGGACCAGGTTACCTATGAGGCGAACATGAATATCTGGAAGAAGATTCGCCTAAACGGTTATACGTTCCGTGATGTATCGGACGTGAACCTCAAGTGAGTCGGTAGATATCGTGGTCGTTTGTATTTTCATGAATTATCTGTTACTAGCACTACTATTCTTGGGTATAATTTTACTGTCCCGTTTTTTATTGCTCCAGCTGCCTACGCAGGTCATACAAACGCTTCTGCTGAGTTATCGCTTGCCAGAGCAGCAGGCAAGATGGGTGCTCTTTATGCAGTGAGTTATGGATTCAGAGTTGAGGTGAACTTGAATTTGAATTTCTATTCTCAGCCTAGTATTGAGTCAACGAAAACAATTGAAGAAATTGCTGACGTCGGTTTCGCCAACCAGACTATGTTTCATCAAGAATACGTGTGGTCGAACCGCACGCTGTTGATAGACGACTTGAGCCGTATTGAGGCCGCGGGGTACAAAGCCATATTTCTCACTGTTGACAACACTGGTGTAAATGGCATAAGGTGCGGAACGTCCGTGATTTTAGTATGCTATCTTCTGATCGTAGTTGCACAAATAGAGTCCAAGCCATGCGGCAAACTGGAGAACTTGATTCCGAGTTGGTGATGCTTACAATGTTCACTTTAAATATGCTTACCTCCTTAAAGCTCTGGCCATTCCGCGAGTTTTACGCTCGATGCGCTCGCCGAAATTCAAAATCTCACCACACTTCCTATCGTCCCGAAAGGAATCAAAACCGCAGCAGACGCTAAGACCTGCCTCGACCTCGGTTTCCCAGCTATCTATGTGTCTAACCATGGTGGAAGAGTTTTAGATGGAGTTCCCACAGCTGTGGAAATTCTTCTGGATATCCGGAAACAATATCCTGAGGTTTTCGAGCAGATGGAAGTATATGCGGATGGAGGGGTTAGAAGTGCCAACCATATCATTACGCTTCTCGCGTTGGGGGCAAAGGCTGTCGGATTGGGCAGGAGTCCGATTTTTGCAAATATCTACGGCGAGGATGGCGTGGATAGGATGCTCACCCTGCTCCAAGCAGAACTACAAACCTCGTTGCAACTGATGGGTGAGGCTGATATCCAAAACGTGGTTGGAAATACGACCTACGTGAGTTTTTTCTTGCCTTTTCCACAACTTACGCCGCTGATACCGAGCGGCAGATTAATACCAAGCAAGTGGAGGTGGAATATTTTGGAATCAGTTGAACACAATTGATAATGGATAATCAGTAATCGTATACATTAGATTGTAGGTTTTCTTTTGATACAACAATGGACTTATTGAACATCTAGCTCTTCTTGCGCACTTCTATTGGGGAACGCCTGATGCATGATACGATGTGCATTCGCCCTTCGTCCGACTCTCGGGGGCTTGTGGCCTCTCCACCCCAATTGCGGCTCACATGGGGTGCTTGCTTCTAAACCTTAGTTCGAGGGTTTGTTGGTGCTGGTACACCTCCGTTCATTGTAGGGAGAGCAGTGGAAAAGGATGGTACATAACAGGACAGTACAAAAGGGAGTCATGACTGCACCGAATCGGGGTCATCGCATGCCTAACTAACATGGTGTCTTCGAGGGATTTGCGAAGACCGAGAATTGATGACAGCTTTAACTTTGATTTAGCCAGTCAGTATTGCGAGCGAAGTGAAGTAAGTAAATAATAACAAAATTACAATAAATGCACGACTAGATAACAACAGCGAGTAATAAAAATCCTATACTTAATCTATTTATGAGGGCCTTTTCTTTGTAGATAAATCTCTTCGTCAATGGTATTTTTTGTCAAGAATCGGTAGATGTGAACATGCTTCGTCTGGCCAAAACGGACTAAACGTCCAATTGCTTGAGTTTCACAAGCGTTGTAGATTTCCTGAGAAGGTGCGAGGAGAGGAGACAGAAAAATTGCGTGATTCGCCGACGTCAAATTAGCACCACTTGCGCTTTCATCCATAACGTTCAGCAAGAGTACACGTTCTTTGCTTTCATTTTGAAATTTCTCCAGGTTTTTGCTTTTCTGAGCCGCAGTACCACGAATCTCCAGGAACTGAATTTTATGGTGCCCAAACGCCTCGGTGACTTTTTTCATGAGATCGGGAAACTGGACGAAGACTAATATCCGGTCGTCTTTGGGGATCTGTTTTCTACAAGCAGACGTTAATACCTTATCCCGCCTTGATTCAATCGATACTTACTTGATCAAACTGATGACTTGCTCGAGCTTCATTCCAAAGTGCTTGCCTGTGCCGTCCCGTTCAACATCGTCAACACCCAATGTTTCAGCCTTAACGACGTTGATCACTCGAGCTGCGGATTTACAACCGCCTGAGGCGGAGTAAACGCATTCCTCCTTTTCGGCACAGGACCTGACACAGTCATTACAACCAATGTGACCACAAGATGACAAGACAGAGGCATCCTCGACTTCGAGTGCCTTGCGACCGCAAACAGGACAGGATAATACTGGAGGTTGTTCCCTTTGTTTTTGCAGGTCTCTGACAACCGTAAAATATCGCAGAGAACGAACGCGACCAACGAGCTCCTTTGTAAGCCGCCTTATTTCATGCGTCTTTTCACGGTGGTCCCATACCTGAGCTTTGAGCGATTCGGAAAGAGTTACATCGTCTTTGCGCGGTTTGGCCTTCATGGTGGGTGCGTCAGCCTTCTCGATGAGAGACCGAATGATATTCGTCGCTTCCAAATCTTCAACACCATCTGTTCGACAGATCCGCAGCCACTGAAGAAACATGGATTCACCCCCAGCATTGTTGAGCTTCTTGTTCAAATCCTTCTCTCTTTTGACGCCATCTTTGATCGCAGAGAGCAGGTTCTCCTTGCAATCATTGAGTTGTTTCTGTCGTTCTTGTACGATAACATCGCATGCTTTCATAGCGTTCTCATTATTGGACTCGACTTCGAAATGTGAGCATCGCTTGAGGAGAGCTTCTTCTGCAGACCTTCAACAGTATTTGAGAAAACTCTTCACCACGAGAACAGTAGACTTACTTGCTCTCTCCCAGCGACTGGGCAACCCTCTTTTCCCTGTCACTTTCAGTTTTCCTTCCGCGCTTTACAGTCATCTCTAGTGCACGTAGGTAGTGCTCAAGCTCTAGATAGATGGCTCTCTCTGCGGCGGGTAGGATGACATCCACAGTTTTTTCGCTCCACGGGATTTCATCGATTTCAGCGATATTCTAGACGGAAAATTTTGAGCTACTTAGGGACACTCATGTTGAAGGATGGACCTACCTGTCTCACGAAGCGATCCAAGAATCGTTGACCAACTTCATGTCGATGTGCATGCCATTCAAGAGTGTGAACTTCGCGGAAAGAATGAAACTTCTCAACGTCTATAAGAATACACATAAGTCTTCCGGCTTAAGCTTTTGCATTGTTGTATGCTTACCGGTGCGTTCCTTTTTACGTTTTTTGATTTCTGCCGATTGACCTTCACCGTCGTCATCGATGCCAAGATGAACATCGAGGAAAGCGGATATGGTTTTGAGTGCACCAAAGTCGTGAACAGGAGGAGTTCCAGAAAGCACCCAGTGTCGTGCAGCGGTAAGATTGTTAACGAGCGCATGGACCTTTCCATCAAGGTATGTATATTCATCAACGACAACACGCGCAAAATGGAACATTTCCAGAGGAGGAGCGTGCATCTGGGTCCAATCACGAAGAACTTTTCCCGAAGCTAGTTTCCATGGGTCGGTATCGACACGCTGCTTCTTCGCTGGGCGATTCCCATCGCCTTTAGCTTTACGTTTCCCCTTCGCTGAAGATTGAAGATCTTCATCAACGTCCATATCATCTTCGCTAGCGGAGCTAGGTGGTGGCGCGGCTTTCTTCTTCACCTGTATCTTCTTCGCTTTTGATTTTGGGGAGGGGATATCATCCTCCGAGGGAACTTCTGACGAATCAGCTTCATCCGAGCCGCCTTCGTTACTGGAATCTTCGACGAAACTGTCATCACCATCGTCGGACATAGCTTGCCGTCGGTTAACATGTTTGCGGGCTCGGCTGTTCTTGGCGGATTTAGACGTCGCCTTCTTCTTCGGAGCAATTTTTTTGGAATCGTCGTCGGATGAGTCGTCGTCAGAGAGGACGATAGGTTTTCGAGCAGCGGCGCGCCGACTCCGCTTCGTCAGGACATCTCCATCTTCGTCATGATCTGCATCCGACGAAGTTTCAGCACCAGACGACTTGGAGGCCAACTTCGAATTTGCGCGGTAGACAGGGATCTCAACAGAGTCTAAAACGGTGCGAGTGCGTTTCGGCTCTCCCTTCGTGGAAGAAACTTCCTGTTGTTCAGTCGTCTCTCCTTTTTCTAAAGCATCAGCAGCGTTGCGATAAGATTTGCCTTTTAGTCTTTTGGACTGGAGTTGAGATACTTGCGTCGCTTCATCTTCGGCTGTAAAACAAAGTTAATAAAGTTGTCGAATTCGATAGCGGCTGTACTAACCACGCCTTTGGGCTTCTGCGATTTCGGCTTTCACGGCAGCGGAACCTTCCTCCCGCAGACGATTTGTTTGGCTTCTCAAAGCTATGCAGACCGTTCGCAGATGATCATTGAATTGGCGTCCATCTTTCGAGGGTAAAGGACCGACCGCAGCGAGAGACGAAAGATTATCGAGGTAGACGTTGCTTTTGAATATATTGGAAGCCACGATGATAATATCTGCTTCTTTGAAGTCATCGATGGTTGCTGAGTTCAAGTTGGATACAGTGGATAATACAAGGGTTTTGAAGCGTTTGCCGGTAAATTTGCGAACTTCAGAGTCCCACTGTCTAGTAAGGTGAGGAGGGACAATGACAAGTGTACCTTTGAGGGAAAGTTTCCCATCAATTGGCTTTTGCTTAGAAAACTCCGCTTCCACCGTTTTCCAGGTACAGTCTATGAGACCTAGAGTGATAGCAGTCTTCCCGTACCCCACTTGGTCGGCAAGAACTCCACCTCGAACATGAACGGGCCGTCGTGCAAGCCCTTCGGCTCTCCACCCTAAAGGATCTAATACAGCTTCTGAGATCTCTTCTTCCACGAACGGTTCTGCATTCAACGTCTCCTGACGAATCATCCATTCTAAAGAACGAGTTTGCTCTTTCCGTAAATTAAGTTTGAAGCTCGGGGGCTGCGCGTGTTCCTTGTCGAGCTTGTTGCTCAGAATGGTGAACTTCGGTAAATTGAGAGACGCGGCAGGAGTGAAATTGGTATCAAGTCTCCATGACAGAACGGGTTTTTCTGAACGGTCTTCAGAAGGAAGGCGGGACAACGCACGGTGCAGAAGCGACGGAACGTTGATTCCGATACGAACAGTTCCCGTTCCATCGTCAGTCAACATTAACTGAGTCACGAAAGGACTCGGGCGTCGCTTAAGGCGACGTTCATACTCGCCAGCTTGGACTGGATCCTCTATTCCAACAATCTTATTCTTGACCTGCATATATTCGATATCTGGGGGTGTCGGCGCGCAGCGCTCACAATTGGAATGATCGAGTCCTTCGACCTTTTGCCAAGAATGAAATCTTCCGGAGACGTCCTTGATTCGTTCGAGGAGCCAAGCAACTGAACGGAATATCTCTCTCTCATCGGATTTGTTCACCTCACGCCAAGATCCTAACGGCCATTCTGCGCCCGTCTGGCCTCGGAGAGGAGCACTGAGAGAAAGTAATGCTTGCGCATGTTGGCACGCGACATTAGAACCCGACACTTTGATTGTGTCTTTAGGGATTCCAAAGCGTGCATCTTGACCTGGCGTGGGCTTTGAACATTGTTACTGGACATGGAATCAAGAAATACGATGTAACTCACCTGCAGATTTATAGCACTGGATTCGACCCATTGAAACGGTAGGAGACATGCTACCTTCTCCGAATCATCAGTACTCGACTGACGCCACTTTGTGCTGAGTCGAGCAACAAAGGGACGTGACTCGCCGAACTCCAACCTCCGTATCTCTGTCGAGAACATGAAGCAATCCTCAAAGTCCTTGGTACGATGAGGAACCAAGAGCATGTACAGTTGGGGCAAAGACAAATCACTGCCCTTCTGTTTGTGGAGGGCGTTGCATGCCGTCCCACAACGATCGAGGAGCTCATAAGTACCAGATATATCGCGGTCAAATTTAGGTTTATCGGCTTTAGGGACTGACACCTGTATTTCAGACCAGACTTTCTTTTCTCTAAAGGCTTCTCCCTGGAGCCCAAGTCGCGATTCCCAAGCAGGGACCAGTGAGCCAGAACCCTTCATCGTGATCTCAACCTCAGTGGATTTGGGTAAAGCAAAAGCCCATTGGCCTGAAAGTAGGGAGCCTTGACAAATTAAGCGGCCGACGGGGTTGTCTAAAATCTGCCTAATTTGAGCATTAGCTGGCTCGTTATCCTTGGGTTTCGCGAAAAATCTCCATTCAGGCTGTTGGGGATCAAGATGTAGTTCCAAAGAGCCGTGTGGTGACCGAAAGATAGCACTCCAAACCTCTTGTCGCTTGAGCTCGACGTAACGTAGATCAGAGCTCGAGGCAACGAGAACAGCAGTGCACCATTCCTTCCAAAGTTTGCCATTCAGATCACCGAGAGTCTTTTCGTTAAGCTCGTCGAGCAGCTTGGTGGTAACATTCAACAACGATAGGCACATTGGCAAAGCGGATTTTAATTCCATCTCAAAGGTGGAAGGAGGAAGACGAGGATTTGCAATGATGTCAATGGGCTCTGTATTATGTTCGGGTCGTCCGCCACATCTTATACATGACGATGCCCCACAATCTACGCAGCGGGATAAAGGCCTTGAAGTAATGTCGGTTCGTCCTTCACATGAGCATAATCGCACAGTCCTTGATGCGATACCCAAAAGATGAGCTAGGCTTTGGCTCTGAGTGGCGGTGAGATTGAGCGGTTCGAAAATCAAGCTCTTTTCTCCAACAATGCGTTCGTCTACAGGAAGTTCTGGAGGAGGTTTGGCAGAGCTTTCAATATCTTTCATCTCGACGTCTTCGAACTCTTCAAACGCATCTCCTCCGCCGTAGACGGCCTTTTCGTCTCCTTTCTTGAAAAGTCGAAGACCAACTATCATGGAGCCAATGATGCAGGCACCAACCACGGTCGTTGACATGGCATTTCCAGCAAGGTCTGCGAGCTGGTCTTCAGTTTCCCGAGTCAACAACATTCTGTCGACCGGAAGACCTTGCATGGAAAGCGCTTCCAGTCCGATCATGGGGCCGCCACGATTTGTGATATAGGGGATCATAGAAGGGGTGAGGCAAGGGCAAATGCCAACCTTATTCGACCCAATAGTCCTGTCTACATTTTGTGAGAGATTCCAAACTTGGCTGAATCATATATAACCGATACTTAGTATTGGCATAGATGATATGAATCAGATAACAGACTTACGTCTTGTAGGAAGGATCAATACCTTTCTTCGCATCACGAAGAAGACTGATGTCTAATAAATCCCAGACACGCTCTACCTGCCCTACCGCCCAATCGGTCCAAGCGAAACTAAGCATCTTACAGAACCCCCCTATGAAACCATTCAGTGACGGCCTCGAAAAGGACTAATCACACACACATACCTTCGTCCCAAGACGTCAAAGGCCGTTTGAGGCCCAGCGCCTCTTCAAGTCGTGCCCTCTGATGTCGAGACTCACAGCGACTCCAATCTGTTCTGCCCGTACGACGATCAAGGGAATTTTGAGATTCCTGAGCTTGTTTCTGTCGCGAGTGGTGAATGCGGGGATCATCGATAGGTAATAGAAAAGAATCCAATGTTGATGAAGCGGGACGTCGGAGTCTTTCGACCCATTCCTTCCACTTCTTGGGAATCGGAGAATTCTTCTGGTCGACGGCGACGAGATAGACACGCGTACGTGTATGAGGAATATAATATTGTTTTGTGTCGACACGAATATGGAGAGCGCTGTAGTTGTGTTTTTCGAACTTTTCTTTGACTCGATCCCAAGGTGCAGAGCACACATTTTCGAGAATGACGATCGGGGGTCGGTGTCTTGTTACCCAGCCCATCATACCGCGGAAGGTGCGCCCTGATTCACCATTGGCATCGATATCCTGCTTCTCATTGTTCAGATTGGAGTAGTCGACACATGATGTTCCCGCTACTAGAAGATCAACGTTTCCCGGTACTGTTGCCAGGGCACCGTACGCTGTATGGCTACGAAAAAGTATATCAGCAAGCGTCCGGTTATCTGTCAGGATGGAAAACACGCACGCCTTATCACTACCCAACTCACACACGTCGCGAAATAATAATGGAGGATGGAAGTTCCTTTCAATGTAAGCTTGTTTGAAAGGCTCGATTTCGCAAGAGAAGACGTGCTCTACATCCAGCTTGACCCCATACTGAGCACTTATACTTTCGACAATCATATCGAGAGCAAGAAGAGGAGATTCTGTCCCAGAGCACATAGTGGCTACGCGAAATTTTCGACCTTGGAGGTGAGTAGCGACGTCCTTGAGTTCCGAAGCCCTGCTGACAATATCGTTGAACATAGCAGAAATGTCGTTCAAAGGAGGGAGACCGGAGAAATCTCCCTTTTTAGCCTGTGGCGCGTCCTCTTCCTCGTCGATAACCATCGAATCATCTGCGTCGTCGTCTTCGGAAGGCTTTGAACCTTTGCTAACGGTAGGCCCCTTGAAAAATCTATCAAGGGTCTTCTGCTTTGGTTTGGCTTTGACTTCTTTTGCCATCGAGCGGAGGCAAGAGAGGGCGAGAGTAAAGAGGAAAAGGAAGTAAACGAAAGCGCGTCTGTCACACTAGTGACCATGTTGTGACATCTCGTGTCTTAGTCACGGCTGAGTACTGCGCTGAGTGAGCCTCAATTCTAAGCAATTTCAGTCGCCTGCATGGGGTTTAAAATCAGGTCATAAAGGCCTTCGGCCCTCGGGCACGGTACTGTAAAGTAAGGGAAAGCGTGGTCCAGAAAGAGAATAGTATAATTATACAGGTCAATAATCTATCCCCACTGAGTTCATTGCAATTTCTGCAGCTCATCGTGAATTGAGAACCCAAGTCTACGTTGAGTTTTTGTGGCTTTCCGGCCACCCGTTTGTCTGAGTGTAATAATACTTGATTAGCAAGCATACGAGACGAAAAGATATAGCAGTTGCCTACCTTTGTTCCTGGCACACGAAACTCTCGGGAGCTCCCTCCCAATCTTCAAGTACATATTTACCTCGCACTTCCTCTTTATTCTCTCCATTTCCAAACAAATCGAGGGCGAGTTGTGTATGACTAACCCCTGCATACGTTGTTGGACACCTAGGGTTCACAAGGATTCTTGCAGGTCTAAATACAGAATTGGGAATGGACAGCTTCCCGGGCTCAATGTCTTCGAGCGGAGGCACGACTTCACCGCCTTCTTCGTCTGACATGGCATCGTAGTCTGAGCCAACATTCGCGTCCGGATCTTCAGCGGCAGCAGCAGCTTCCCGTTTTTGTTTCCCCTCTTCTGCAGCAGCAGCACGGGCTTCATCCATGAGCGGATCTCTCTCTGCCACGTCGATAAGGTTTACATCGCGTTTTCTATTCCCTCTAATAGGAGCGCCACCATTCACCCGGTCAACCTCATCCATTGCATCACGCGCAGTGCGTACCCACAAGTCACGGCAGAACCAAGCCTGACTGCTATCCAAACATGGTGAGTCGGGCGTTCGTACGGGCGGGTCCTCTGGGGTGCTGAGATTATGGAAATCAGTTCCGGCGCGGTAGGAGATGCCTTTGTAGTACGACTGAGCGGGATCAACGACATGAGTACCCGCTTCGCAGCAGAAGACTTGGAACGGGAAATGCTGAGCGTAGCGAGAAGCACCGACTTTGTCTCGAGGAGGCACAGCATCCGGTTTCGAAGAGGATTTGGATTGCCTAAACTGATCACCTTCAATATCGCGTGTACGCCACCTTTTCGAAACAGAATTATTAGTCAACTACAAGAGCGAAGGGTGGAGACACAAACCTATCGGAAAATATGAAGAAGCCGTTGTGTTCTGCCCAGTCCATTCCACAGACCATAGCCGCATCATTAGCAAAACTGATTTTAATTGTCTCCAAGATATCGTTAGGACACGTAAATCCCTTGAGCCAGATAACACGATGGAATTTGATCTGACGTTTGTGTTGCAGCTCTTTCAGAGGTTCCAAAGCGAGGTTTCGCATATGGGCCTCCTCGAGGGGATAGTAGGCAGTATTGGGATCCTCTGTCATACCCGGCACCCGACGAATTCTGAAAGGGACACCCAGCAGAGTGAGTACAGCTTCACAAAGATCAACTATGGTTTCCGTAGAGTCTCTTGAGTCATAATCCAGCATAGAGACAAAGATATTGTTTGTCCCCAGTCTCTTTGCCATCTGAACGATGACAGCTAGTTGGTCAACCAGGAAATGGTCAGCGGAATGGATGACTATGGCGAAATAGTATAGATGATCTTGACGAATGATATCATCCCAGGCATCTTCACGCCTATTCTGGTTGAAAGGTCGAACAAGAGTTGGACAGAGCGCCGCAACCCATCCATTCAGGGAGAGGAGTTGGTCTATAGCGGACAAAATATGCTGAGCGTCCATAGGGGCAGTGTCTTTGCTCATAATACTAACCGACAGTCAGCTACTTCCTCATCGAAAGGAGTTTGTATACGCACTACGGCAGCTGAAATCTATCCCAGTAGTCATTAATGCCATTGCGAATCACGTCTCCGAGCACCTCATGTCTCGAGTCTCTTCCTATCCTCGCCTGCAAGAACTTGTGCTTCTGGACATTCAATGATTTGTCTGGCCGAGTGGCACGTTCGATGAAATTATGCTCTTCAATCTGGTTGGAATGTGTTGTGGTCGCGAATGAACGCGACGAGGATGTTGGGTCTGAAGAAGGGAAAAAGAGTGCTCGAACAAGGAACAGAGCTGCCGCTACAAACACAATGCGAGACAAGTTTCGCCGCCGCAGAGAAAGCGCCATAATGTAGGTCAAAACGGCAGAATGAAGTTTGAACCCTCAAAGTCCCTCGATGTCGGTCACAATCCAAGGTAAGAGCAGGCTTTCAGCGCTTATGAATACTGTAGGCGCTTAGACATTTTTTCCCTTGTATAATTTGAGAAAGTGTAGCTCGTTCGAACCTACCGACTTTACTTGGTTGAAATGGACTCTAATTTATATATTATTAGAAGGCTTGAAATCAGTAGTCGTAAGCGAGAGCAGCATCGCAGTGATCATCCGGAGTCCGGAATTGCCATATACTTCCGAACTCCATGGCAATGGCCATCCTTGGCCATCGTCAAAGTCTCAACCTGTTTGCTAACTTTGGGATGCGCAGTTTGACGTGGATATCTCACATACAAAGCCTAAAGTAAGTCGCAATTTTCCTCTGGACTCGTCCTTCGTATGCTTTTTCGTATGCAACGAATGCCCCCCGTCTACAGAGCGCACGAATTGAGGTAGTGGAAAAAGCCGAGCTATCTCTGGTACACTACATACTACTACATAGGGAGGTTTTTCGGCTTCCGTTACAGCTAGAGCAGTGGCTAAGGGGAAGCGGTGAGCCATCCTCGAATCCGAAAAAAAAGTCGGGGCCCAAAGTAAGGCTGTTAGTTGAACCGTGGTCCATCGAATAATACACATAAGTACATGTAAGCCGTGAAAGAAACATGCTAGTGTGCGTATATACGTAGAATGAGGAAGGTATAGATGCAATGCAGTAAAAAGTACACAGACGGATATCATAATGCAGGCGAATCCGCTTCACGAACAAATATCCATTTATCGCCAACTTTACGCATACCTCCACCGCGCTTCTCGGTTGAAGGCTCTTCAGCATTTGATTTTGACTGATGTGCTACCCGTGGGTCTCCGCCAGCCTTCCAGTTCCCGTTTGCGGTAGACTGTCCCTGCAAGTGATTTCCTCCATAAGCCATTCCACCGTTCATTCCACCCATAGACACGTTCTGAGTATCCATGTACGGATTCTCTGTGCCGTCCCAGCCAGACTGATCCCAAGAGTCTTGAGACATCATCTGAGAAGGATCCGCAGAGGCGCCAGCAAACATAACAAATTGCATGAGTTGCTCTGTTGTAGGCATCGTGCCATACGAAACGAGCCACATCTTGCCCAGGGCTTCCCAACTCTCCGGGTTTGTGAAGTCGAAGGTCGCAACGTTGAATTGCTCAAGGCTGGGGTTATGAGGTACCGTTTTGGAAGCCGAAGGCGTAGAGATAGAGGTGGGTGGGGCAATTCGTGCCATAGTAACTGGTGGCTGCATTGGGGAAGGGGCAGCCGGTGTTGTTTGAGCGACATCATGAATACCAATCTGTAGTTCGGCGGCGTCTTTTAGGCTTTCGGGAGCCTGTGATCGAGCGTCTCTGCCAAACTCGTCTTTCTCGGAGTTACCAGCACTAGGTTGAGAGTCACCCGTGTCAAATGATTCTCGCACAGCAGGCAATGGTCTCCTGGGTGGGCTATACGGCTTTATTTCTCTCCTTGCGCCATATCTACTGGGAGGACTTCTAGAGCGACTGCGTTTAGCACCTCGATCTCTGTCTCTGAAATGATCACGCCCGTCTCGTTTACCTCGCCCCTCATTCCAACGTCCACGACCCCCTCTGTATACTTTGGAACCTCCACGACCATCACGACGAAAGTCATCATCTGGACTGCCGTACCGGTTACGAGGTGAACCCCCAGGTAACGAACCGTAGCCTGAAGTATCATCTCCATAAGGGCGATTAGCGTTTACATCAGTGGTTACTGAAATCGGGCCAGTATTAGAATATGACATATTAGAGCCCAACTGCGCCGTTTGAGTCAACTGTTGAAGCAATGCTAGTTGTGCTTGTGCTACATCTAATTGTGGTCCAGCGGATGGTATAGGAGCTGGACCAGCCGAGGACGAAGCTCTAAGGTTTCGGATTAGTCACAATATTTTGGTGGTAATGGAGCACGTACTGATTCGAAGTTGAGGCAGCACCGACATTGATAGCCTGTGTAAGGAGTGCGAGAATTTTTGATTGCGGGTCCAAAGGGGTGCTGAGCGCCGGTATATGTGTGGATGAAAGAGATGTTGGGGGGAATGGCGGAGTAGTGGAAGTTGGTGGAGGTGTCGGTGTGTTTGCACTTGCAGAACTTTGAGCAGCTGCTATTCGAGGGTCGGACGACACGACGGCTTTAGCAGTAGATTCTATTGAACAAACCGACAAGTTTCAGCGAGGCATTCTCATTTTCGCAAATATAATATAAATGGGTTGATTCATGGAAATACTTAGCGTACGACATGAGTTGTGATAAGCACCTTTTACTGTATCCTTCAACACATCTGCTAACTGAGATAACATGGTCGAGGGGAAAGTATTTCCTTTGACCCAGATGTCTAGAACCTTCTTTGTCTTTTCCTGTAGGTAGAGACACAATTAAACAGTCAGGATTGAATTTAGTACACGATTGACTGAGAAATAGCCATGATATAATACAATAGAAGCTAGGGTGAGTTACCGATGCCGCAAAAGACATGCGATATGTAGCATGAGTGTGCGGCCCAAGGGACCTGTGAAAGCGGAATGGCAGCGTCCAAAAATTCAGGCCCTCAAAGCCCTCGTTCTTTCAGAGCGAAAGGAGCGGATGTTTGCATAGGCAACTGAATGCAGGCAAACTAACCTTTGCTTCGGGTGTTCCGGATAAGACCATATCTTTGAAAAGTCCGTCCAAGATGCCTTGTAATTTGAGTAGAAACGTAGCACAGTTGCCCTCTGGAGCATTGATATCACCGAAGAGATTTTGCTTATTGACTTGATGCTTGGCGGCTCGTGCAAGCGCATCGAAGATATATAGACTTGAAACTTTCGCAGCAGCGGACAAGGATTTGTGTGTACGGTAGAGAATAGAGACCAGTCTTGTATCATCCTGTCCAGTAGTACCAGAAATTTCATAAGAATAACAGCCTTCCTTAGTAGTATTCGACACATACTTTCATGAGTTTCATCGCAAGCTCTGTCAGTTTCGTCATTTTAGAGGCCGATAATCGTTTGGCCTGTACGACCTCCTTCAACGTTGACTCGAATTCCTAAAAGACGAGGGTCAGATTTGGCCAATGTTTTCATGAATGATTGTACCTCTATTGGGCTCATGAAGGCGCGATTGAGGAGTGGAAAAAAGAGAAGAAGAATTGATAATATTATTGAATATTCGTAGTCGGGAAAAGGGTTCAGTTCGTCATGTGATTGTTTCAACCTCCTTCTCGTCGCTCATGTCGGCCAGAGCAAAAATCACTCTAGGAGCAGCCATAATTATTTCATCCCTAACAGTATGGGGTGTTCATTTTCAGCAGACTCAGGAACGTGAGGTATGTGAGCAAAAATCAAATCACTGCGTTCATAGCCTCATGAATCCTCAGGCTATGTACAAAGGCGTTCTAAAAGATGATGAACGACGAGTTGCAAAAATGAAGCAAAGGCAGCAGGAATTTGAGGAATCTCAGCGAAAGCGCGAGCTATATGAGCGCGTTCAGACTGTCCGGGAATCAGGCGAAGTTTCTGGTCCCTCATAATGGTCTGTTGCCTATGGACGTTAATGAAGTTTCTTAATTTCTAAAATGGCTAAGCATTGGCTGTTAGTTGCCTGTCATCGCTGGAGACGCTTCAACGTGGCGTCTTCTGCAATCAGGGAAGTAAACCGGCTCAGAGCCAGTATAAAGCTGCTTCCTGATTTAACATGGTTGCTCGCGGCTTCCTATTTACCCCGGATCACATCATGATACAGTGTTCCCCCCTGTTCTCTCTTGTTACTGTATCGTAAATCGTTTGAAAAATAATCTGAATCAAAACCAGTGTTTACCTCGAACGACAACCGCCTTCGAGTATACATAAACGGGACCGTTCTCCTCCAGCCTTGTTCTTTCGGGTACGTCGTGTAATCTGATTGTATCATATTCTCAGCGGGTTTGATTTTGATTTTCTCTAACAGATTTTAGATCTCTTTGGACTACTATGTATACAGATTCTCAGAATTTGTATGAAATCAGGAGTCGTGACTGATAACGGTGGGGAAAATCGGAGGAGGAAAATTGAACGCCTGAGAAGGTCAATTACGGACGCCGAGCGGGTCGGGCTCAAAACGGCTGTGCCTTTCCCGTCAATTTGAAACTCCAGTTCTCTTTTAAAAACGCTCGAGTTCCTGCTTTGATGATTTAACCTCCCCCCATCGGTGCCCCCCTTGTGCTGGTCACTGTTACAAGCAGGTCTTGATTGAGAACTGGTTTCTTGATTTTCTACGTTCACCCCCGAGCTCTCAAGACTTCACTGAAGTTTCAACATAATGTTCACTTTCATTTACTTCGGCTTCACATTGTTCTTATCTCTGCCTTTGCTTTCTTCCGCGGCTCCTCTACGCCACCGAAGGTCGAAAATGCTCAATCGCCGTACAACATACACTCTCAGTGACACATACGAAGGGGACAGTTTCTTCGAGTAAGTCAGGTTCCTTTTTTAATGCTGTTATGGTCAATCTTAATGCCCTGTAGCACTTGGGATTTCTTCACAGATACGGACCCTACGGAAGGATACGTGGCCTACCAGTCGAGAGAAAATGCCACCGCCATGGGACTTGCCAAGGTGGAAAACGGCGTCGCGATCATCGCCGTTGATTCTACCTCTACCTTGCCGTCTGGTACCAATCGTGCCTCGTAAGCCCACCCTTCTACTACTCGAATCGGAAACTCAATGTAGCTTCCAGCGTACGTATCAGTACACAGAAAACGTATAACGGAGGTCTTTTCATTTACGATGTACCATTTATGCCCGTGGGGTGTGGGACATGGCCCGCTATCTGGTTCGCACTCGTGTGTTTTTGTAAGGGTTATAGTCTAATATTTTCTGTCAGGTCGACTAGTACAGGGACCTGGCCTAATGATGGTGCGTCTTTTCCTTTCACCATTTCTAATATTCAGGCTTACCATTCGACTAAATCATTCAGGAGAAATTGACATGATCGAAGGGGTTCATGAATCCACGGAAAACCAGATTACGATGCACACCAATGCTGGTTGCACTCTTGCTACCGGCCAAGCTATTACTGGTACTGTATCTGGTACGACGTGTGAAAGCAGTGACTCTAACAACAATGGTTGTGCGACCATGGACACTACCCCAAGTGGTTGGGGCACGGCATTCAACGCAGCAGGTGGAGGAGTTTTCGCTAAGCTTTGGGACGATACAGGTGTCAAAATTTGGCATTTCTCTCGAGGCAACATACCTGCAGATATCACGTCGAAGAACCCGGATCCATCTACATGGGGTAACCCCGTCTCGTTCTTGCCCAGCGGCGATTCGTGTAACGTTGCAGAGCATTTCAAGGATCACTCGTTGATAATCAATATTACGCTTTGCGGTCAATGGGCAGGTGCTACCTTCAGCTGTGGAGGAACGTGCCAGAGTGCAGTGATGGATCCGTCTAACTTTGTCGGTCAGTGCCTCTGATCTTATGCTGCGGCCAGTCTCTCATGTGTATGTGTTATACACAGATGCCCAATGGAAAGTTAATTCAATTTTGGTGTATCAACCATCTTGAAGAGTTTTTTATGATGATGGGAGATTCAAATATCATCGTGTCGTGGATCGTTTGGTACTTACTGGTATTTATCAACGATTTATTAACCAAAGTTCGTCTAAAGAGTGCGTGAAGTAAGGTGAAGTGTCAGCGTGTTATGTACGAGTTTTCAAAAAAAGTTGCTGACAAAACCACGACGGATGTACTGGTGTTCTTACTAACTTGAGTCAAATATTTTTACTCGTCATTTTTCATAGGACTTGAGTTGGCAGCATGTTGGTTACATTAGTAAAGAATTTACATAAGAGCAGATTGTACAGGTTGACTCGCAATTCAAGCTTCAAGGCCTAAAAACATTTAATCTGCTATCCCAAGAGCAGGTCGCCAATAGCCCTTCTTCGTATAAAGACCAAGCACATCCAACGACGAATTCAGTGTGAGCATCGTGTATATAGCGTAGCGGGGGCTGGGGTCCCATTGGTGTGGTATTCCAGCTGGAAAATCAGACAATCAGTTACTGAAGTCATCTCTCGAAATTCCGGCCTCACATCCTGCATGTCATATCATAGCTTGCAGTGGCTAAAAGGTCTGCGTGATGAGGACTCCACTGTAACTTCCGCACTGCGTATTCATGCCCGGGGAGTGAGCTTTCACAAACTCCTCCGACTTGAGAATCTCCCAACTTGACCATGCGACAATCCCAGACCTTGACCATCCTGTCCACGCTACCGCTTGCAAGCACCATAGGGCGATATTTATTCCAGTCCAGCGTCAATACCTCACTAGCCGACGCTGGAATTGTGAGTACAGCAGCGGACAAAGGATTGGTGAAGGAATTTGTTCCCGGGCCTGTCGCATATGCAGGCGAACGAAGGTCAAATATCTTGAGGGTGCCGTCGGTTGAACAAGTGGATATGAGGTCTGGTTGGTGCGGAGAAAAGAGTGCTTGATAGACACAAGACTGATGTGCTTGCAATGTCAAAATGGATCGTGGCCGATCTGGTTTCCACTTCAGATAGCAGTTGAGAGGATATAAAGAAGTAGAAGATCACAGAACACATACCACTTTGACTGTCCCATCCCAAGATGAAGACACGAACGTATCTTTCTGGATGTTAGACCAATCCACCGAGAATACTTCCTTTGTATGCTCCTGCCAAGCTGCGATGGCAAGGTTCTACATATACATCAGCAAGGCACTGGAAAATATACACAGAGCAACACACATCGAGCATGACATCCCATAGTCGTATTGAACCGTCTCCAGACGCTGTCAAAACATGATTTTCGTGAACCTCAGACCAAGCCAGGTCGTACAGGCCATCTTGCGATTCAAAACTGCTATGTTGAGCTTTGTGAGTGGTCTCCGAAATCGAATGAACGTACAATTTATCAAGCTTGAGCGTTGGTAAACCACCTGGTCCAGGGACAAGGGAAACGATGTGAAGACGGCCGTTGCCAACCAGTCCAAAATTGGCAGAAGACGCCAGAGCTAGTCTTGTGTTATAGAATGGCGACCATGCAAGAGAATAATGAGCAAATCCTGGGGTCTGTAAGACTGACGGAGGGTTCATTGGAAAGAAAGACCATCGTTGATGCTTGTTGCGGTAAACAACGGTGATTATGAAGCCGAATTCGAATTTTGTCCCCCAACACTCATTCACATGCGTGTTTCCGTCCCAAATCTACCCAAGTCTCTTCTTTTAAATTCTTTAACAAAGCAAGTCCCGGTTTCCGAAGCTGTTGATAGCGTTACGGCCTTCTTAGCACCAGGAAATGTTACTCTGATCACTGGCGCCGGTGTCAGCGTCGACTCTGGAATACGAGCGTACCGTGGACGCGATGGTCTATACATGAATCCAAATTACAAGTAAATAATCTTTCGTATGCTATCTTTGGGCAACATTAAAGGAATCTAGACCTATCTTCTATCATGAACTCCTGGACGAGACTGAGAAAGGCCAGTCATTCCGGTACGTATCGGTAAAGTTGTTTCTGCCAGTGGGATGCAGCTGAAGCCTGTCCAGGCAAAGATATTGGCTTCGATCATACCTGGGATATCCTTCTGTACGGGAAGCTCTCCCAAATACAACCCACTATGCTGTCGCAGCTCTGCAGCACGCTGGTGTCATTCCTCGTCTCATAACTCAGGTTTCCTCAATTCCCAATTCACAAAATCACTGCCTGATGCGTCATGTATTCTAGAATGTTGATGGTTTACATCATGCAGCTTTATCAATGGCACATCCCAGCCCAGTCATGGTTGAAAAGTCCCTTCTCGAATTACACGGCACTCTACACGTCAGCCCCTTCGTACTGATTGGTCTCTGAAGCAAGATTTGACTCTTGTATTCTGGTATCAACCATAGCGTGTAAGATGTAAACACGGACATCTCGTTGATAGAAACGTGTTTCAGGACTGGCTTTCTTCTGCCAACCCAAAATGGAAGGATTTTGCGGATACGGGCACAGAACTTCGAACAAATCCGGATGGTGATGTACGTATTCGACTAGACTGCTCTGTCGCCCAACACGGGGTCGGCTGAATCGTCAAGATCTTTCCCCCAGGTTGCAATCGAACATTTAGGTGCATCATACAACGACTTTGTCATACCTGAATGTCCTACTTGTCTGCAAGAGAATAGACACAATGACGTGGTCTGGACTGTTCTTGCTGTTTGCACTTTTCTGGGTAGCTGAAGATTACGTTCGCTAGCACAAACCTGATCTCATATTTTTTGGAGAATCCATTTCAGAACATGTCAAGAAGCGATCGTAGGTGTATATTCCAGCCTTTTGTCTCCTCTCACTTACGCTCTGTGTCTAGGTACTTGGATATAGAGAATAGCGACCGTCTCCTTCTCATAGGAACGACGCTCGCCACATATTCTGCGTTCAGGTGTGTATGCCTGCCTCTGTCACGTCCAACATACTAATTTCTTGTCTGCATATAGGCTGCTAAAACACGCCCTTGCACTAGGAAAACCTGTTTTAATGATCAACGTTGGGCCTTCGAGAGCAGATGTCGTCGAAGGAGTGCACAAATTAGATATCGCCAGCGGGGACATCATGCGTGACGTCGTTCGCAATGTTCTGTAAGCACAACTTGTCTTCGAATGATTGAAATGATAATTTTTTTTGTTCAGTGGACATCGTGGTGCTGTAGACTCTACTGTTGAAAAAATGCTATCGAGTGGAATAAGAAGGCCTCCACTCATCGACGATGATGACAGTGCCCCTCGAAATGCGGGTGAAGATTAACCGCGAGTTTTTGCAGTCTAAGATGATTAGAATTACCTATCTAGAGTGAAAAAAACATAATGTTGTAGAGATACCAGTAAGAAAATGCGCGAAGACCACCTTTGCACAGTACGAGTACACGAACATTAAGTTGTACGAAGAGCTAAGTTAAAGTGTCAAAGCTGATGCGAGGTACGAATTGATACACAGGACACAAAACAGTGAAAGCAGACGTATGCGGTACGGCGAATGTGCGGATGTGATGATACAATGATTCTGAAGAAAGCGGTATGATGGCTGACGAGTCGGTATCCACGACCAAGGGAAAAATAATAAATGCGATGATTTTGACAAGGCATTATGCCTGATGCGAGGGAAGAGTACTGAGAACGCGGGATGGAGTTACCTAACGGGAATAAAAAGCTGTAGAGCGATCCGGGGAATATACACAAGGCAAGCTATGCATGATAGCTGGAAGACGGCCTCCACGAAGGGTCCTGTCGCTCACGAGGCTGCACAATAGACCAAGATGACCGAAGAATCCTCGGGCCTTCAACTTGCGCCCTAACCTGGGATTTGACAGGAACATCTGGATCACATGTGACTTCAGACGAGTCTGAGTTACTGTCTGGCAAAGGCGGAGCACTGGTAGTAAATTCAGGCATACGAAGTTCAGACCACTTCCAATTTCGCCAGTCATTTTGAGTATCGGGAGCATCGGGGGGAATAGGTGGAAGGCGAATGCGAATTCCGTGCGCGCGAGCAAAGTATTGCTCGGTGAGGAGGTCACGTTTACCGGGCGCGCGAATGGGAATAGAGCGGGGAGGCGGTTCGGATTCCTCTGTGCTGCTCACATCGACGTCGTCTTCTTCGTCGGAGGTTAACGGCGGAGTGCTGATAGGAGTCAGAGATGATACCGAAGATGACGCGGAGGGGGCTCTCTGTGGGCGAAGTGGGCAGATAAGTGCATGTTTTCGAATGAGCCAATTCCCCAAATGAGCAAACGAATGATGCCACGCACTTTTGTTTTACGATTTGACTTAGTGTTGGGTCTATATTTCGCTTGAGCCAGCACTGAGGGTTGTGGGGAAGCTCCAATATCTGAGTTGCCCTTCATGTTGCCAGCCCTCTTACAGCGTTGTTTGTGCATGAGCCAATGATGATTATCGTAGAGGCTCTTGGTGGAGAGCCGGACGAGATGTCCACAGCCCAAGCAAGTGACAGAGACAGTCGATACGTCGGCGGTCCACGGATCATCCTCAAGTTTCTTCTTTCGAGCCGCTGCTGGGCGTTTGAGAATTTCTACTGGCATGCTAAACAAACAAGAGAAGTCAGTGGGTAAAACCAACAAGCGGTATGAAATTAACCTGGAATTATCAATGGGGACATCGACTCTATAAAATTACAAGTCAGATTCAGTAGGGATTAGAAGAGACGAAAATGCGGTACTGACACTGGGGGGAACTCAGCCGGACTGGTACCGGAGATTGGGGAGTTAGAAGAGAATGAAGACTGATGAGGGAGTTAGTACATAGACGACGCAGCTTACGCCTTTGCTACAACGTACTGCGGTATTTTGCATTTCAGGAATATGATGAGCGCTGCAAGTGTCTGCGGCAGAATTATTATGAGAGGGATTGTTTTGAGCACTGAACGCGAGCAAGTGAATGTCTCCTTCGAATAATAAAGCTTCAGGCCACAAAAAAGCTCATATGTGGAAGCTTGTGCAAGTCGGAGAGTAGATGATGGATGAAAGGCACTGAAGAATGTGGCAAACACAAAGGCCTGCGGCAAAGTCTCGTGCACGAGTGAACAACGCGTCCAATGTCTTTCTTAAGATAAGTATATTTAAGCAATAAAGAACGAATACATTTATATATATAAACAAAATACTAAGGAATGAGCGGATATCATTATTTAATTAGAGAAAGAGTGTGCACAGCGTACTAAAAAGGGTACAATACGCGAGTAGTTCGAGGATCAGGAAGCCGACGTCGACGCGTCCTTGCTTAAGCTTTCCTTGAATCCTCGTACGAAAGATTTGAAAGGCATCATGAACCATCCAAACACTCCAGGTTCTGTGTCAGGAGCGACATATTCTTCGGTGCGAGGCCGATTCTGGGGCCTAGCATCGGGATCATCTGGAGGGAGATCTACTTCACAGTCCTCAAGGCGCCTCTTTACGCCTCTTGAAACAGTTTCCTCCGGGGACACCACTGTCGATGAAGATCCAGTAGATGCAGGTGCCTTTGCACCTTGCGTGGGAAAAGGTATACTGCTCGACTCAGGAGATCCGTTTTTGGATCTAAGAATTAAGCATTTTGAATTAAGAAATTAGCTTGTCTGACTTGCGACAACGAAGAAGAGAACGCATTACTCAGGTTCAGGGCAGCCCGCTTTATGTTCATCCCAGAGTGTGAGATTGTAGTCCACGTCATTCATAAGTGCTACTGTAGTATTACAGGCGGCACATATGACATGGTTGACGCCGAATGATGTTGCCCGCTCATCGTTGACAAGCTTGAGTTTTCGTTCAGCTGTGGCTACCCTCGAACTTGGACTGCAAAAATGTCAGAAAATTGTGGGAAAATGAGAAAATTTAAATAAACGCACATGGGAGCACCGCAGGCCTTACTATGTGACTTCCAGTTACCAAGATCATATCGAGAGCTACCCAGACGGATCCATGAATTGCATTTCTTGCATAGAACCTTATCCTTTTCGACCTCCTGAATGTTTGGATCTGCAAAAAGGATTCCCTTACGCTCTTCCTCTGTTTTCCGCGTTCGAGAAGTGTGAGTGGCTTCCGAACGGGTATCTTCGTTTGTGCCGTCAGGACTAGCCTGATGTCTTCATGGCAGAAATCAGATCATGGAATACGAGTTTGATACCGTAGCCACGCACTCAACAGCAGGCTTGAGGTCGCATCTTGCGCGATGCTTTTCCCAAGGACGCACGCTGTATGTCGTCTGTTTGCCTAAAGCTACATACTTTTGGCATCTTAGGCACTTGACCCGGTTAGGTTCAAGGGAACCGCACTCGGGCTGATTCTTGAAATACTCGATGCGCTCATTTTCACTGCGGCGAACCCGGTTGACACTGATGATTGAATCAGCAACAGAGGCGCTATCGTCGAAATCGGACTCTGAAGGACAAGTTTGTCTGTGGGGCCCATTGATATTGAATTGTCCAGTGTTCGAAATGACTAGGAACATACTGTTGAGATATGGAGGATATCGGTTTGTGTCCTCTCATAGACGTAGGCTTCTTCTTACTTGAAGGAGGAAGAGAGGCTACCGAAGATTTGTTGCGTGTATGACCCTTCTGGCTCTTCATGGATGCGTTGTCCGGAATATCCTGGTCGACGCGAGGGCGCTTGGAAGACCCGGAAGATCTGGGATATTACATTTGGTTAGGCTATCCGCTTGCATTTGAACAGTCTGATTCACCGTGACGCGACTGGGACTACACTTTCTGGTGGCTGTAGTAATGTGAGCATATCAAAGGCAATGAACCACCTGATAAGCTGACCACTCACCTTCATATCCGAAAGCTTCTTTGCAGTGACTGGGGAACTTTTCACACTAATAGGTTTTGTCACTGTCTCTTCATCGTCAGTCTGGCTGATATCAGATTCCTGGGCAGATCGAGTCCTACAAGTCACGAAATGGTAAGTTCAGGTTCACATGGAGAGAAGGTTTACGCACTCAGAGTCCTCAGTAGAATTAACTCTGTTTCTCTAAGAAATCTATGTTAAACTTGTCGCGAAAGACTACTTTTGGTAAATTTCGGCCTGCCTTCTGTTTGCGAGAGTACGTGATTTTCACAGGTCTATTGACTAAGATGAGCACGCAGAAATAAGGAAAATAACAAAGTAGACCTCGGGGAGCTTTGCGAAAGAGCGTTCATGGTTGGAGAATTGATCAAAAATGAAAGAGATATGCTATAAATTAAGTAGACAATGAGGACTCCAAGTCTCACGTGCACGTTATAGACGCGTCGCGATGTTTATTGTTTGCCTTCAGTGCGCACACATTTACAAACAACCAAGGAAAGAATTTTGCTCTATATACATACGTATCACGGATATTTCAAGAGCACGAGTTTGAAATCCCTGAGTAGCAGATCTACAAAAGGGTATTGCTAGAAAATGGGAAGAGAACTCGCTCTTAACTAGCTCAGTAGCATATAAAAGACAGTATCAATGGAAAACTGTGATGGTTGTGAATGCATAACAACGAATAAGAACTGCCAGAGATAGATAGCGTTGCATAAATAGTTTGCGAATGAGTTAGTTTGTAGATAGCTCAATGCACGAATGAAGAGGATTTGCATCGTAGTAGAGTTCGTTAAGACTGGTATGTAGCAATGTAGTTGATTTTCCATCGGGCATCTGTAACGCCAGTTTGATATTTAGCAGTAAAGAGAATTGAATACAGGAACTCACTATCGAAATTCGAAGGGTCTGCAACGGTGTCCGCACAGGTACCTGAACAGCCAGATGAACTGAATGCGGATTCAGTCCATCCTCCACAAACATCCGTATTAATGGTGAGAGTGTGCTCAGAAAAGTGGGAGCCAATGTCACAAGCACTGTTGCTGAATAGAGCTGCAGGTTCTCCCCAAGAAGAAGGATTTGGTGATTTTTCTGTGATGTCGGAGGGAATATCGTCGCGAGAGAAAAACCACATTTTGATAGCGTCAGCATTCCAATCCATAGCATCTACATATGGGAATCAGTTTGTTACTGCAACTGGAATTGACCACTGGAACTCACAGACACCGCCACCTTGTTGATTAAATCCTTGCCCGTATGAGCGAGCATCGTTGTCAATGTAGGTACAGCCTGTGTTGCTAGAAGCGGAGGAGGCACACTGAAGGTTCCCAATGGTGCTATTTCCACTGACGTGACTGGAGAGTGTGGACTCGATCGCGCAATCAGCACCACTATGAAGGGTCAATTGGTTGTGCGTGTTCAAGTTGACACCTTCAATGATGTCAATCTGCAAATCAAGGAAGCAAAACAGTGACATAAATAATCATGCGATTGCTGCAGCAATTGTACCAACCTCGCCTTGATCTGGCCAGTTGGGACCGACAGACCTGCAAAGCATTAGCTGCATCAAAATCTAGTGGTCGTTATGCAACACTCACCAGAATGCAGGCCAAGTGGCGCAACCGTAAGGCATGGCATAAAAATCCGCAATGAAAAGACCTCCATTGTAGCTTTTGGTTGTAGCTATGCGGACACTGAAGGGGATGGATTAATAAGGGCGGAAAAGGGCTGGAAGACAACACACGAATCGCGGTATTGACCAGAGGTAAGCGTCGTAGTGTTGTCCACCGCCAATACAGTGGTCCCGTCATCCTGAACGTATGCAAGACCTTTGGATTGCGCGTCTGAAGAGCTCTGGTAGTTCACTAATCCTGCAGTAGGGTCGGTGTCATCGAAGAAAGTCCACAGCGAAGAATTGCTAAAGGCGTGTGCATAAGTCACCGGGATCGTGTGGAATAACTGAAAACACACACAGGAAAGATTGCCCCTGATAATAATCCTCCAAAACATAAGTTGAAGTTGTGTTACGAGCCTTAAGTGCAGCACGGCGGTGATTTTGACCAAATGATCGGGACTTGTGGCCTGCAAGCGACGCAAGAGGTAAAGAGAGTAGGAAACCTGAGAGGAAGTGCATTGCGGGTAGTCGACAAGTGAAATGAAAGGAAAGCGGTTTGAAAACCAGGGAAGGAACGTATTTCTTGTCAGAAAACCGGGCTAAGGAAAACAAGAATGAAGAAAGTAGGTGGGAAAAGGAACTATAAGGCCATCGATCCTTTTATAATCAAACGATGTAGCATGTTGTAAATGCTACAAAAGGCAACCACCCTGGAACACCAGGAACCGTAGGGTCCGTTGTATAACCGACGGCAATGATTCCGCAGTTCAAACAAAATACCAGACCTGTTCGGACTAAATAGCAGGCTCGCTGCAAGGTATCGATAACCGTATGAGGAGATGGTGCATGTGTATAGAACACAAAGCTTTTGGTACGCTGAGACAAGCTGAGACGCAAGCAAATTGAAGTGTTGAACTAAAAATATTCGGGCTTTTGCTTACGCGATCGGCGATAAAGCTCAAGGGCCGGTCAAAGCTGGATTGTACGAAGCCTTCAAAATTTATATATAGGATATCGCAAATACAACATTACCGATTCCTGTGAAGGCCCTGATCCTGAGGTGATCTTTCACTCTCAATTTCCCGCCTCTCCAGCGTCTCCAGCCTGAATAATGAATCGTGAAAAGGATATCCCGAATCTCCGACGCAAACAAAATGCCAGCTAAACGATTTGCGTCGAAACAAGTGTATGTGTCACCTTCCATCCATTCGTTGACCTTCGTTGGCTCGTCCTGATTCATCTTGCGCGTCGGAGGAGCACCATTCCATCGGGTGTTATAATATATGCAGTGCATTATGGATCAATCCGCAATGATGGCCTTCAGGTGCTACATGTCCATTATTTGAGCTCGATTTACCTGTGTAAATATACCTCCACGAGGTGACCAGTGACCATTCGGTGCATACTTCCGAGCTTTCACAAGTTACATTCTGACGGGCAAATGGGACGGGGCAAATGGCAATAGCACCATCCACCAATCAGACCAGATTTTCGGCGTATTCAAGAGCATTTATGCGACACACAGCCTGAACGTTACTGGAAAACGAGAATCAAGAAACGTGCACAATTAATGAATTTATGCGGCGACTATCGACAAGAGCATGATGTCAGACGATCAAAACACGAATTTGTGCACTAAATGCAACGGGAGGTAAGTAAAATGACTACTAGTCCAGAGAGCGACAAAGTGCAATGGTCCGAGAAGACATGAACTTGCCTAAAGACCGATTATTGGCTCCGCTTGTCATGAGAAGTTATGCGCTGCTTATCCCACTCAGCCTTCCACCTCTTCCAATCGCCCTCACGGCCTCCATCAGACCAAATAGTCCACCCATCTCGAATCTGCAGCCATGTAGAAACCGGATTCGATACAAGAAACATCTTGAACTGTCCCAAAAATGAGTTTGGACGAATTCGAGGAATAAGCTCAAAGCATCCATAACAAACAGCTCCAGAGACTACACCAATCCCATATCCCCAGAGGATCTGATACGGTGTGTGATATTGCAAGTGATACCTGATTTTGAGAATGAACTCGTGATGTTGAGATCAGTTATGCCTACTTACCTGGAATAAGCTACCAACAGCCCCCACGCTGATACGGCAATATACACAAGGATGCGCCATGCTTGATCAAGGAATAATGATCCAGTCGATGCGAAACGATGGCGAAAGTAGAGATGACATATGAGGAACGTCGAGAAATATCCCACTTCATTCAGGTTTAGAAGCCTCGGACCGCATGACTTGAGTATCTCGAACTTACTGTACTGGCTATGGCTACTGGGAAAACCGTACCCATTTCCTAAGCTGCCTAAGAGACATATCAACCATTGAACAGCATCAAAGCAGAAGGGGAGCACACCGTCTGGCCTGTCCTCTTTGTACAGCCGCTTCAAAATCCAGTTGAAGCCTTCGTTCGCGAATTGGCCAGCCCACATCACTATCACCAAGAACTCTCGCGTCTGTACAGCTAAAGATGCATATGCTGCCTTTGCAGTATGTTAAGGTCCCACATAACTTTTCAAATCTTTGGTATACCATTAGCAAGATTGGGCTCAGCGTCACCAAGGCCAAGGCGAGTGAGAACAGAGAATCATCATCGTCTGGAAGTTACGAGGAACCGTCATTTATTCATTTATATTTGCGAGCAAGATGTGAAACCCACATAGAACGTGTGTGAGGTCCAGAGAGGTCTGTGGACCTCGATTGGCAGCATGAGAGCCGAACATTCTTCAGCGAGGAGATGATGAACGTTCAAATACTGTACGCCTAGAACGCGTAGCACGTGCTCAAATGAATATAACTTACTCCACTATATCCGAAATTCCATCTTGAACTCGAATTGTATCATCGATGTCATTCCCAATCAAGGAGATTCCAACGAAACCCTTTGACGGGCAAAAGCCTGGTACTTCTGGGCTTAGGAAAAGGCAAGTTGCATTTTCTTTCCATTTGGATCCTTTGAGATAATTATCTACCGTCTATACAGAGTCAAGGTCTTCCAGCAGCAAGTTCGTATGATCTCCGATCCTTCGTGTTCTCAAGCACCCAACTGATGATATGCTATAGCACTATACTGAAAATTTTGTTCAGTCCATCTTCGATTCGATAGAGCCTAAAGGCGTCACATTGGTCATCGGTGGAGATGGACGTTATTTCTCTCCAGAAACAGTCCAGACAATACTGAAAATTGGCTCAGCCAACGGTGTCGCGAAATTTATCATTGGAAAAGACTCTATCCTGTCCACTCCTGCAGCTTCAAATGTGATTAGGAAGTACAAAGCATACGGCGGTATCCTCTTGACTGCGAGCCACAATCCTGGTGGCCCCGATAATGATTTCGGAATCAAGTATAACGTCTCGAACGGTGGCCCTGCTCCAGAAAACGTCACGAACAAAATTTACGAGAAGTCCAAAACCATTGCTTCGTACAAGGTCATCGAGGCTCCTGCGGTAAGTTTGGCCGAGTTCACCGACGGATATTCATTTCTGATTGAGTACGATAACCAGGTTGATCTTTCTAAAATTGGTGAAGCTTCATATGGTCCTTCGAAAGTTTCTATCATCGATTCGGTGGCAGACTACCTTACTCTCCTCGAAGAAATATTCGATTTTCCCTTGATCAAAAACTTCCTCTCCTCCCATGCCGACGAATACAGAGTTCTCTTTGATGGTTTGCACGGCGTGACTGGTCCTTACGCCTCCAAGATCCTCGTCGACACACTTGGACTCCCAGACACTTCTGTGCAAAACTGCGTCCCACTCCCGGACTTTGGTGGAGGCCACCCCGATCCCAACTTGACCTACGCTCACACCCTTGTCGAAGCCGTTGAGAGCAACAATATCGCTTTTGGTGCCGCCAGTGATGGGGATGGTGATCGTAACATGATCTATGGCAAGGGCGCGTTTGTGACGCCTTCAGACTCTGTCGCTATCATTGCCGATTGGGCTGATGTCATTCCCTACTTCAAGAAGGGTGGTGTGAAGGGTCTTGCCAGGAGCATGCCTACTAGCAAAGCTATCGACCTTGTCGCGCAGAAGAAAGGTTTGGAGTACTTCGAGGTCCCTACGGGTGAGTTATAATACGTGCCCTCACGAGACCGTCCTGATTCTTATTATGACGCGATTGCTTCTTTTTAGGCTGGAAATTCTTTGGTAATCTAATGGATGCTGGAAGACTTTCTATTTGTGGTGAAGAATCGTTTGGAACTGGTTCCGACCACATTCGTGAAAAGGACGGTCTCTGGGCCATCATGGGTAAGGTTGTGAAGTGCAAAGATTAGAATGATAAATTCATGTCTTGTCATATCACAGCTTGGTTAAACATTATCGCTGCTGCCAATGCTAAGTCGCCGAACAAACTCGTCGGAATCAACGACCTCCTCAAATCCCACTATGAAATTTACGGTCGTTCCTACTTTAGCCGATACGACTACGAGGAGGTTCCTTCAGAGGGTGCTAACGCCATGGTTGCCGCTATCAACGACGCGCTCAAGAACAAGTCGCTCGACAACACTACACACGTCTCTGCATCCACCGGCGGAAAGTTCACCGTCTCGGGTATATATAACTTTGAATACAAAGACCCGATCGACCACTCTATCTCAAGTAACCAGGGTCAGGTTATCACTTTCTCGGATGGTTCGAGAGTCGTATTCCGATTGAGTGGGACTGGGAGTCAGGGAGCGACGGTGAGGATGTATGTTGAGAGATATGTTGCGCCTGAGGCTGGTGCGGCTGCCCTTAATGGTGATACGGCGGAAGGGTTGAAAGGTTTGATTGAGGTGGCATTGGAAATCAGCCAGCTGAAGAAATTCCTTGGAAGGGAAAAGCCCACTGTTATCACTGTAAGGCGGATGCTTTCGATTTTTTGTGGTTTTTGCTGATGACCCTTCTTTTCTGCAGTGATATCGCCGATGTCAGTTGTTATGAACTTAGAACGAATCAAAGTAGTAAACCCTTTCCTGTATCACCAAATTTATTTCATTAGAGACGTTTGAAGGGAAAAGATATCATTTTGGACTTGTAGTAAAGTTACATTTTGTTCTATTCTTTTGATGCTCTACAGCTTGCCTCTATCGCCACCTTGAGAATCCTCACCGAAGACTTCTGAAAATGAGGTCCCAATCTCTCCTAGCATGTCCTGTGTAACTAATCCTCGTCCTTGTTTCTGAAAAGCGAGCCGACTAGTATGTCGAGTAACTATACTTCCAGCTACTGCTGCTAGTAGGGGCATCCTGGAAGCAGCAATTTTACTGTCACTAACAAGTCATGTCAGAATGTGTATTCTGTAGCATGGAAATGAACGCTCACCCAAATGCGCCATCTTCATAACATTTACCAAACGCCAAGAACGTTCCGACTGCCCCACTCAGGATATCTCCTTGGCCACCGCATCGTTTCAACCCTCCCTCGACATCGACCTCAACAACCTCCTTCGTCTTCTCCTTCGGCTCATCCTTCAACAAACTCTTCTCAGTATCCGCACTCTCCCCAGTAGTATCAATAGCAATGATATCCTTGGCTCCTTTTTGCAGAATCGCAACGCCTCCCAGCTCTCTAGAGATCACCTCTGCGCGTTTGTCCGGCGGGGTGCTTGGATCGACACCGACATTCTCTGAGAGACGTGTGAATTCTACGACATTGGGTGTGAGCACTGCGCGTCGGTAGCCTTTTATCAAGTCGAGTTCTTTTCCAACAAGGAGTAACGCGTCTGCGTCAAGGACGAGAAACATTCCTCTTTCGCGGGCAAGTGTCAGGGCGAGTTTAGCGAAGTTTTGCATATATGGTTCGCGGCCTAAGCCGGGACCGATAATTAGAACATGTAGACGTGAGAGAAGCGAGTTGAGTTCAGGCTTTACATCCCCTGGTGATCTATTTCGAAGAACAACCGAAGATGTGAAAGGTTGGTGTACAGAAACAGTGAGAGAGAGTTGACATACGAATCTTCACGAAGAATTGGGTGTACAATGAGATCTGGAGAGAAGGATTTGATTGCCCCAGCTGCAGTAGGAGAGCATATTACATGCGATAGATCTGCACCC